TCGCTTGATCGCGGACTCAGGCTCTAAGTATGATTTTTTATTCACGAGGAGACGTCGCCACCGCTGCTCACGGCAGTGCTCAGCTCCAAAGAGGGCCATCGTATATTCCACAGTATCTTAACGAACCACTTCAGCACCGAAATGTTTCTATTTTCACCAATACTTTTTTCTGAAATATAATATAAAAAAAACATCAAATCATAACTATTTACGCGTTATGCTAAGAATGAATCCAAACTCGTCTATTTTATGTTTTTTTTTTTGTTTGGTAGCACGGCACATCACAGGCTACCTCATGGTAAGGAATCGGGCGCTGGTTATAAACTCCCGCAACATCACAGGGGTTAGGAGTGTATTGCTGGCCTTTTCGGGATTAGGGTTTCGGAGATTTAGGGATTAGTCCAAGAAGGGCCCAATCTTTACGTAAGTACGTGCGAAGCGTGATCCACACGCTCTTTATATTTTTTTATTTTTTGCAATGTTCACCTTTGAATAGTTTATAGACTTTCAATGTATCAGTTTTTCACAATTAATTGCATATTATCAAACTTCATTTTACGTCCCTAAAACGAAATACTTTTAAGACGCTTAATAGAATCTAATTATAAATCTAGTATTAAAACACTTTGAAAAAAGCAGCCTCTGCAAAATAAAATAAAAATTCATGTGAGAACTAGACTTGTTTGGAAATACCTAAGAAAACTATAAATAATTATTCATTTCGTTTATTCCTATCATCAATTTGTCGAATAAAAAACTTGTAAGGCTTGCATGTTGCTCATTCTTCGCTATCGAAAGATGGTATTACGTATGCATCTTTTTTCAGCATCTGCTTATTTTTTTATAGATGGCATAGGTCGGCAAGCAAGGAAACAAATCACTTGTCATAGGACAGTGAACTGCCTTCGGGGTTTAGAAATTTGGGGTGATTTGGGGATTATGTTGGAGGGGGATTAAGCCTCCGATAATCTCACTGACATGACGAAACACCATGTATCCGTCGTTTACCTCCTCCGACTCTTAAGAAACAGCCCAACACGCCTCTTTTGAAGTTTTGTAATGTGATATTCACATTGAAAATATGACAATAAAATAGCAATTAAGTATTAAAAAATTTAATAAATTAGGCAGTTGATAACATCTTTGTTTAATTATAACGTTTTTTCTTTATTTCATAACACGATGTGAACAAAAAGACAATAGGACTCTAAGTTTTTTTTCACATTTTGTCAAAGAAAATTATTTTATACAACACTAAATTTTTTGTCATTACGAATAAGTTAAAATAGTCCCTGTGCACACGTTTTTAAAACCAAATATAGTATATCCAAAATCGCAACAAAAAAAAAAAAATTTTGATGGTTGTTTGTTTAATAATAATATTAAGTTGTTGCTAGTTTTGCCCTCTGACTTTGCCGCGCCGTTAGATTAAAAATAATAATTATATCAACAAAAATCTATCTACGCAAAGTCTAACAGCCCATACGTCGTTAGCTGTCATACAAGAAACATACGTCATAACACTAAAAATCACGTTTAATACCACAATTAATACACAACTATTTTGCATAATTAATTCTCCGATTTTGAAGGTCAGGAATTTGCAAAAGGATATTGATGTTTTTTTTATACTTTGAACATTATATCATCAAGATAATCACCTTTTCCTAGAAATTTAGCTATACACTAAACATTATTTTCAACAAGCTGATGGTAAGGATTGGAATGGAATCCGGCAACATCACGTGTCGCTGGTAGGCCGCGCGCTTGAGCTCGCAGCGAGCTAGGTCTTCCAGCCGTGCTTCTGCGGATGCTATCATAATGATGTACCGAGGCCCTTCTGGAATCCGAAGGAGCAGGGTATAGTCAGTAAGAGTCTAATATTCCTTCTCGCCCCACCTAGGAAAACATAAGAAACAGGTCCGGTTCAAACGGTACAGAGTGATACCACGGCCTCACAGAAAACCGGCGTGAAACAACCACAGCGTCGTGTTTCGTCGTGTGAGTGAGGTTACCGGAGGCCCAATCCTTCCCTTCCCCCTCTCCAATCCCTTAATCTCCAAAACCCTAATCCCTAAGAGGTCGGTAACGCACTCGTAACTCCTCCGTTGCGGGTGTCCATGGGCGGCGCTGATTGCTTACCATCAGGTAATCCGTCTGCTCGTTTGCCGATCTATTACATAAAAAAAAAGTCTAGTCAAACCGCGCTGTATCCAACCCTGTTTGCCTATCTTTTTATCATTTCAGTATTTAGCTTTATACAATATTATGTTTAACATGTTCACAAGGAATATTTTTCCTTCTGAACTAATAAAAAACACTTAAAGTCTTGTCAAATGAAATTTACGTCATATCAATTTGCATAGAAAATAATGATGTCAATGCCGAACATACATTTTATTGGTGCGGGTTTCCCGGACTTTGCTTTATTTTGAACAAGTTCCACTTCGTGTTATGTTAATATTCTAGTTCCGAGAAAAAAAATGTTCAAATTGGAATCTACTTAATAAATTTAACTGTCTATCATCATCTTTAAAGCTTTCTTTACATTTGACTTTGTATTGAACTACACAAATAGTGCAGTAAGCAGGTCTGAGGCCTGGAGTAGGAGAAGAAACGGAGTAGTTTTTAACCGACTTTCAAAAGGATCTAATTTATCAATTCGACTGTATATAATATTGTCCAATATTAAAAAATCATATATCATATGTCTTTTTTATCAGTAAGAGTCTAACAGTCCCTTCTCACTCCACTCTGGGCGTGAAAAGCAATTTGATTATTTTCCGCGGTCAAAAAAAATATATCTGGATAAATATCGTAATAATATAAAGGAAACGAATAAGATGTGAGTATATGTATTAACTATACTATCCATTTAACATTCAATTACAAATTCTAACTTTAGCGATTTTATCAATCACCTTAACCTACTTTTTGGAGACTTTAATGAATTCATCTCTTTTTTGTGATCGCAAAACAGCGTCTTTTTTTGTGAACGCATAATCATCCAATTACTTCTCTCAGCCCAGGGTGAGACGAGAGAGACTATCAGACTCTTACTGACTAGAAACACCCCCGGTTTCTTCTTCTGCTTTAGGCCGAGGCCGCAGTGCCTTTGCTTACCACGCAACCCCCGATGAGCATTGGCCCTGTAGGGCCCAGTCGGTGGAACTCTACGCTCAGGTTTGGCCCTGGTCGGGCGGCAAGTTACCCTTGCTCGCCATCAGAATGATCAGCGTATCTGAGAACACAAAATGTACCAAATTATTATAAAGACCTCAAATACTTTTTGAATACGAGATGATCGTACGTTGACGGTCAACGTCTCGCTCATAGGTAAGCTGGTTTACAAATTAATGAATTTTAATGTGAACTTGAAGTTCTCACGCCATTGTGTTCATGAGAACTAGATTTAATAAAGATTTTTTTATGACAATAGCTAAATAACTATATCTCTTAAATTCGCAAACGAGGCTACTAACGTGTGTATTTTGGGCGAAAATCCCTAACGCTTCGATAACCACATTAGAAGATTGGCGTTTGGAAACGCTGCAGCCACTGAAGGAGACACTCGGGACGGGCGTAGCGTTCCGCGCGCGCCTCAAAAACCCAATAGACCACAACATACGGGGCCCTATAGGGCTGATGTTCAGCCAGGTTTGCGGGGTAAGCGCAATGAGGCACCGCGACCTTAGAGCAGGAGAATGAACGGGGGTTTTTAGTCAGTAAGAGTCTGACACTCCCTAGAAGTCATTTGATGATTTTCCCCTCAAAAAAAAAGCACGTACGCATAAGCACGCGCCTCGTAGCCAAGGAAATAATAGGATAACTTTTAGTTTTAATAATCTGAAAATCCTTCATAGGTGGCGTTAGGCGGTATAATAGACGTATTGAATGTTCATCTCTGTTGAACTAATGTTCTTGTGTCATGGGTTTATAAAAATATGTACTGTACAATTTCACGTCAAACAGTAGTCCAAAAGTTTAAAAGTTCGGGTACCTTTGAAACAAAATCACACATAAATATAATTATTTATCTAAAAAAATGCGAAGTAAATTAATAAAATTGTATAGCGCTTTTCATCATTTATATTATTATTAAGTAGTTTAATAAAAACTACACTGCGTCTCTTCACATCGTGTTATAGACAAAACTCGATATCGAGAAGATTTAATTTCTAAGTCTACTTTATCCAGATCCAGTTTTGGAACCGACAAGGTTATTTAAGGTTATTCAAATGTATTTATTAGACGTATTACATAAAACCTACTTTGCCCCGCCATTTTAAAACCGAGCTCCACTCCGTTACCGTGTTGAGTGGCCAATATTTAAACCAATGTCACTGCTCAGTGGCACCGCCTTCTAAATTTAAATAAATTAATACATTGAAAAAAAAACTATCACATTTTTCCCATTTAGCTGAGCAGAGTTTTTAAAATATTAACTTTAAAATAAATTCAATTATTTGCACACAAATGATGTTTGTTTCAGATCTCGAACATTATTTCATATTTTCATCATAAATTTAAGATATAGGATATCTAACCTACACCTTTTTAGTATGTTAAAAAAACAATTTATTTTACAAATTTGTAACCGATGAAGCAGTTTTTATCCGCACTTCCACAAAGTATTTCCAAAAAATAAAATAACATTCTGACGCCTCCCATTTGACACTGCAATAATTTTATATAGTATTTACGTCAATAACATAATAATAAAAAAATGTAAAAAAGAATATCTCCCGTGTCATTATTTTCATTTAATTGCTTAGGATTTTTTTTTTGCAAAAAGAAAAAAAAACCATTTATAGCCAACGCAATACATACCAGTATCCCAGTCTCGTTCTTCAAAACAAAAACAAAAGCGTACATAATTTAAATTTTTTTCAATGAAAAAAAAAATACCCGAAATCCACGTCACCAGGGTTTCTAAACTGGTTTAGTCTAATAAACAGCCTTTATAATTTGATAGCAATCACTTCTAACATAAATACAAGGGCTTCAGTATATCGAGCTCAGAACGTTGTTAGGTTTGCAGAATGTATGTAGCAGTGGGGTTAGTGTTAATATGTTTCGTGGTACTAGTTGTGTGGTCAACCTGGTTCAGGCAGAAACCTGATGCACCTCCTTTGATGCCTGGCTCGCTCCCGATTATTGGACATTCCCACCTCATTTTCGGAGACCGTAAACGTGAGTATTAAATTTTTTCTTAATAATTTTTGAATTTCAATTTTAGAAAAATGTTTTTTTTTAATTTTGAAGATATTTTAATATCAACTTAATATGTACAAAAAATGCACTGTTTTTCTGAATTAAACAATGATGAAGTGTTTAAGAAAGTTCTTATCCAATGTTATAAATATGAGGCCTAAAGCCTATTTAGTGAAAAGTGGATACATTTGGGTTTTAATGCAACGTTTTTAAAAAATATTATAAAACATGAGTGTAATTTTTTTTTACAATAGTGAAGATTGTTGTTATAATCTTTTACAAATTTTTAAGACTTCAAATATGTACGTTTCGTATTTCTTTTCGATTGCTTTGAATAATACAGAAAATATTTTTGAAAATAATTATTTTTATTTAAATCATTTTTTATTCGAGTTTTTTGACAAATCGATTAAATTCTCAACACGTATATCAGCCGATGCTCAGCAGATACGATTAGAGCTACTAACCAAAAAAAAACTAAAGAATGTTTTTAATTTAAATTTATGATTTATAATAAATAATAACTTATTTTGACTGTGGCAATAATTTTATTGAAGTGTGAAAACTCTTAATTAGGATAGTGACTTATTCATAAAATAATTGTGAGAAATACCATAGGTAAATCTTTTTACAAAATTACCTTTTTTAATTGTTTTGTAAGGATCGCTAAATGTTTTTTTTTATTGGTATGTATACTTTTATGTATAAGTATTATACAGGTTAATATAGTATATGGATATTATATGTATTAACTATATAAGACGACACAAGATATATTTAACATTTTTTTAAAAGAACTTACTCATAATATGTCTCTCAATCTTACCCCTTTATTACCTAAAGATCGAAAGCGCGTCGTGCATTAAGTGCGCCTTTACATAAAATTTATAATGAGTTTAAAAAAATTCAGATCTGATATTTAATATTAATTTATTTGTGACACTCCAACGACTTATTCACTAATGCCTTTTTGAGGTTTTATAACAAACTTAAACTCTGAGGTGAATTCGTCACTTACTGGTGTGCACGGCACATATACATATTTCAAGTTAGGTATACATTTAAAAATTTTGATTTAAAAAATGAAAAAAAAAATACCCAAATATAAAACGCAACTTTTTTAAAACCAATGATTTCTAAATGTTAAATATTTTCATATGTCGAAAAATAATTGAAGATAAGATTATTATGTTCTAGAAAAATAAACAAAAAAATCTATGAAAGCCTTTTACTTGGCTTCAAATAACAAGGCGAACCTGATTCAAGGCTATACAGAAATATATTTTATATACAAAACTTTTTGCTATATATTTTGCTTCATACTAATAAATTAATACAATGATCAAAATGTCCGGACAAATTCATTAATGCAATATTAATGAATTTGTCCTTTAAATTCCACTGAAACGCCTTCACAAATTAGGATGTTTTTTTGTAAATGTTTAAATCACACTCACTAAAATAGCATTAAAAGCACAATAAGCAACTAATACAATCGAAAAAAAAATATTGTCAGAAAACAAGTTCTTTTTTCAATGTCTAGCAGACATATCTGCGGTCGCTAAGTAGTATTATGATCTGATTTTAAATATCATAATGTATGAATAAATTATCCGGTTGCTTATGTAAGCATGCTAAATTGTTAAGCTTGTTGAGTCCAAATTTACAATTGTGTAGTCGGTCAAATGTTTATAACTAGCAGCTTGATAAAAAGCCTATATTCTATTCCGCAGTGTATCCTATGCCTGTGCCAATTTTCATCCAGATCCGTCCAGCCGTTTAGGCGCGATTGAGTAACAAACATCCACATCCAAACATCGTAAGAGTTTGGGGTTGTCTTTGGAAATTGTCATTACTAGCAAAAATTTGAAATAAAAAAAAAATTACTTCTATTTTACGTCGATTAAATTCTACATACACATCACAAACAAATTGACAGACAGGCCCCAGAAGAAAAAAAATAGTTGACACATTATAAGTAGTTGTTTTGTACGGATATCGAAACCACGACATGTTAACCAGTAACTAAATGGCTAGCCACTGCACCAATGGCGTAGTCTAATAATAATGTCCATTACAATGGAATGCTCTAGCCGAGGCCGTAGCACCATATTATGCTTGCCCCGTAATCCCGGTTAAAGTTTTGAAAAGCTGGTGTTACAATTTTTCCCTCTTTATCATCTACCTTTCAAGCTTAGCCTTATTATAAAAGTTAACATTTTTTAATTTAAAAAATAAATAGATCAAAAAATTGTCTGTCTCAAATCTCTCAAAACCAAGCTGGACATCTTGACGTGTCATTTGCGTTTTTAAACACGAACGTCAAAATAATTAATTATAGGCTTGAAATTGTTTTTCGACATCAAGGAAAAACATGCAGCCCATAAAATTACCATTAACCTTACTTTAAATGAATAAAAAAATATCTTTAAAAGCTTTTAGAATAAATAATTAATAATATTATATCATGTGTATCTACATTAACATATTTTTAATGATGTATTTGGCGGTCAAAGGCAATAGTTAAAATTGTGTTATTGATTTCTTACTTATATATACCAACATCGGCACCAATTACTATTTATTAATATAAATGATTTATTTATTTATTTATTGGTTTATCTATAATTATTACATATAAATTAACAATTAGATATACAAGCACAGATGTTGTTCAGAAATAGCCTTTGTGTACAATATTAAATAATTACATCCTGAAAATAACAGACCTTAAATGAACCATGTTACGGCACGAGTTAGCTTACTCAAAAAGAGTGATAACGTGGCTTCGTGGAAGACTGGAGCGAACAGAAGTAGAAACAGGGAGGTTTTTAGTCAGTGTGCGTCTGACACGCACTCTCGCCCCACCAGAGTAGGGCTCTTGAGTGGTCATACAATTTCACATGCACATGACACCCAGACCCGGAACAACAAATTGTGGGTCACACAAAGAGTTGTTCCGTGTGGGAATCAAACCCGCGACACGTTGCACGGCAGCCAGTGGCCCAGCCACCGCACCAACCGTGCAGTCAAGTGGTGTCATGTTTCAAGTCCTTGTAGTCCCACTAGTGTTGCAAATATCTGGTTGGTTGGTTAGCATCGATTGTTTAACTGTTTATTTGCCACCCTGACCTGTTTTTTTAAATCTAACCGACTTTTTGCGAAACTTTTTTTATTCTGGTTCATCTATGTAATATTCGTAACGATGCATGTTACGATTATTTGATCAACGTTACAGCATATTGTTTGTTATTTTAGCATAATATGTAAATTAATGATAAAATATAATTTAAAAGTCTCTAGAAACTGTTTAAAATATATTATTTGTTTTGTAAAATTTAAATCTTTGACTTTGACATACATTTTTAATTAAATGATAAGTAGATTTTTTTCATCTGAACAAATCGTATTTTGATTTTCGCGACCCACGCGCACCTTATGGAGCCAAGAGTGTGTGGCAGCCTGGAGAGAATGGGATGGCTTTTACTTAGTAAACTTCTGACCTCCCCTCATGCAGGACCAGTGAAGACATTTGATGAATGACGCCAATTTTTTATGTTTTGTACATTGAGACCTTGAGAATAATTCAAAGGGTTCCTTTTTTATTAGAGAACGTTGCTTCCCGGTCTCTTTTTATTACAATAACTAACTAAACGAACCTGCAGTTCTATGTTTATGGAAAGGAGTGGTAAAACAATACACTTTATACACAACTCAAGATTAAATTAATTATTTATCCAATGTTTCAGATCTCTGGCACTTCATAAAACATATCAACGAAGTATCCTTCGAACATGGCGGAGCTATTGAATTTTGGTTGGGCGCCCAAAGATTTTATGGTAAGTTCATGTTATCTATTATTATATTACTATTATTTAAGTGTGGGAGAGCCATGCTTCGGCACGAATGGGTCGGCTCGACCGGAGTGATACCACGGCCTCACAGAAGACCGGAGTGAAACAACCACAGCGTTGTGTTTCGCCGTGTGAGTGAGGTTACCGGAGGCCCAATCCTTCCCCGCCCCCAATCCCTCCTCAATCCCTAAATCTCCAAATCCCTAATCCCTAAAAGGTCGGCAACGCATTCGTAACTCCTCCGTTGCGGGTGTCTGTGGGCGGCGCTGATTGCTTACCATCAGGTAATACGTCTGCTAGTTTGCCGCTCAATTACATAAAAAAAAACAATGTCGCAGTAACATAGATTTATCCGTAATATCTATCGTAATCTAGTATTATAAGGATATCACTGTACATTTAGCGTTTTATTATGAAATCGCATCCTTATAAATATGTTACGGTATAAAATTATATCCCTAGGGATATAACGGCTATAATATTACGGCTAGACTATGTACCTACCGGGCGGCGTTACGAATGCTGGTTATGGTTCTAACATTCAGTAGATAACGCTTATGTAGACTCATTTTAATAAAATTTGTAGACCGTAAAATATAAAATTTCTAATAGAATACCATGCCAAAATAAAATGTCGTTAGCAAAGAGTATTCGAATAGTATAATATTGTGATGTTAAAAACTGACAAACACACAATCTGTCTGCTGAAAACGCTAGTTCCTAGCGGCCAAATTAAGGCGCATAACTCTTTCCAAAGGAACATTTTTGCTAGATATTTCTAAATCAATTAGGTATTACGCCTAGGCAAACTCACGTAACTATTTGACGGGATAGCTTGACTAGTTTCTAGCCACACTAGGGGCTCATATTGATGTCCCGTTATAATACTATAAGTTGGCTTATAACTTATTGTTTTTTTCCCTATTACAGTTTTATCCGATCCAGAGGATTGTCTTACACTGGCCAACACTTGCTACAGCAAACCTTATATCTATGACTTCGCTAAGGACTTCTTGAACAATGGACTGATTACTGCTGAAGGTGAGAGTAAAAACTTTCTACATAAATTATAATTATACTTTTTTTTCATCATCAATGGTTTTTAAGTGCCCACTGCGGAACAAAGACCTCTTCCCACGCGGGGAAGATTTGAGTATTAATTACCACGCTTGCTGAAGCCGGATGGGCGATTTCAAAGTTATAATTAGAAATTATAAGCCCAGGTTTCCACACGATGATTTTCATCACCGTGTGTCAGTGGTGTCGAAATAATCTTAGAAAGTACATATGACTCGGAAAGAGTCACCCTCATGTATGAGTAGCGGGTGCTTCAACCTCCGGGCCACCATGATGACGACGACGATTCTTTTTTTATTTATGCATGTTGATTCTCGCACGGAACATTTCTTTGTGTGATCCACAAATTTTTGTTCCACGTCTGGGTGAAATGTACTTATATACAGGAAAATACCCCAGTACGGGACAACTTTTTTCTTAAAAGAATAGTTTAGGGATGCCACCAGGTTAAAATTTCAAGCAATAAAATTAATCTCTTCTCAAAATATCTATGAAAACTTTCTATGAATTTTTTTATTAAATATATTATAAAGTGTCTTTTTTACAGCCCCAGTATGGAAATCACATCGCAAATTATTAAATCCTGCATTCAACCAACAAGTATTGAACACATTTGTTGATGAAATGAACAAGCAAGCTCGAAATCTTGTTTCGAATTTGAGCAATGAATTGGGCAAAAAACCTTTCGACATTCGACACTACTTGGTTAACTTTACACTGTCTACTGTTAGCCGTAAGTATTTATCTATCTATGTTAAATATCCATTTAAAAGATTTATATGAGAAATAATTCCTAAATGTATACTTTGTTATCATGTAAAGTATACATTTAGGAATTATTTCTCATATAAATCTATTATATTCATAAGGGTCAATAAATCGGTATGCTCTTCTAGTCGACCGAATAGACTGAATTCCTGAAACCAGAACCGAAACAGAATTTGATAGAAATCAGCTAAATTAAGCTTGCAAAGTAACAAAATTGACCGTTAATTAAAACAGTATTTATGAAAAAAAAACTTTATATACGATTGTGTATCGCAGGACTTAATACTTTAAGCATTTTCTACCAGTCATCAACTGTAATATACATTTTTAATACGGAATCGAAAGTTCTCAAAAAACATATTTCATTTTTCAGGAACTTCACTCGGTCTAACAGCTAAAGAACAGAAGATAATAGACCGAGAGTACGCCGAGGCTATTGAAGATTTGTTGGCTCTGTACTGTGACAGAGCTCAGAAAGTTTGGCTGCACGTCGGATGTGTGTTTAAATGGAGCGAAATGAAACGCAGACAAGACAGACTAACGAAAACATTAAAGAACATCATTAATCCTGTAAGTGTTTGGATTCTGGTACTTTGTTTTCTTTAAGAGAATCTAATTTCATATTGACGTTTTCTCGAAAAACTCCGTAATGTATCTGTTTTCACTACATAGTATAAAGCAAACCAGCACCTTCGGAAGTTTTTTTAGGAAGTTTTATATATATATGTATAATAACATCCATTAAATGAGGAGAGTTATTATAAGTATAACACCCGTGCGAAGCTGTGTTAATTAATAAAATCATATATTTAAAGGAAGCGTTATCTTTGTTTCGTCCAAAATTCCGTGAATCATATAAAATTGGAATACAATATTTTTTAAATAAAATATGATTATATGAAACTAGATACCAAATACAAATTATGAAATAGTACGTTCAATAAAAAATATTTGCAATTCTGGAATTTGTGGGAAATCCATATAATTTAATTTTATCAATAAAATATTTTTAAGTTGATTAACTTAAGAATACCTTTAAAATATAAAAAATATTAATCAATCTTTAAAATGTTTGTAAAATAATTAATTGTACAAGAGCCTTTTACAAGATTATCAAAGCGCTATAGTTCGCGTCATCAATAACAGATGCCACTACTATTATAACTAGTTTGAAGTTGTGTCTTATCATATTCTCTCGTGTAATTTTGATGGTTCCTGGATATTACTCCGAAGAAAATTTTGTGTTTGTTTTTAAATAGAAATAGTCGAAGTAGTTTTTAATTTGATTTATTTGGTTTTTTAGGTAATATTGAAAAGAAAATCGGAGATGGCGACCAAGCAAGAAACTACACGCTATGAGGATGCACCTGGTAATTATTATAATTATATTAATTCTTATACTCTGTTTAAAATTGGAACAACTGTATTTTCTAGAAAGTATTGCTAGAAAAAACAAAATTTCCTTGGAAAAGAGAAAGAAATGAAGTTCTGTATTTAAATTATACAAAATCAATTAAAATTGCCAACTTAAATTTGGAATTAACTAGCTTAATAGTTACAGACAGAACTTCATTTCTTAAAAATACAGCCAATTAAAATTATAATGAAAAGTTTTAACATACTAATAAAACATTTATTGTTACAGGTAAATTCAAACCAGTTCTGGACCATATGCTTCAAATGGCCCATGAGCAAAATGTTTTCTCCGATGAAGATATCAGGGAACACTTAGATACTCTGGTAGCAGCATCATATGATACGACGTCTTCAGCTATGACCTTTATGCTCTTGGTGATAGCATCTTACCCAGAAATACAGAACCGAATTTACAATGAGTAAGTCTGGTCTAATTTAATAAGCTTTAGATATAAGTATAGACATATTATGATCACAGTCGTGGTGGCCCAAAGGTTAGGGCGCCCGCTTCTCATGCACAAGTTGACTTTTCTAAGTTTTGTGTCTTTTCTATGATTAATGAGACACCACTGACGGACAATGATGAAAAACATTGAGGAAACCTGGACTGATCAAGTTAGGTTTTCAAACCTTCTCTGTGTGAGAAAAAAAACCTTTTGCTCAGCAATAGGCACTTATAGGCTGTTGACGATGGATGTATAATCAAGCTTATAGCATACCGTTTTCCCTCAATACTAATTTAGGATGGATTAGGCCGTTCCTAGTTGGAAGCTACCAGTGTTTGTATGAAATAATAATATATTTCTCTCAATGACAGTAAATTAATATTTGTGAACTCTGTAGGTGTTCAATGATTTCTTCGTTATGAATGAAATAAATTAGTAACCAAACGATTGTTTTTACAGAATACAAGAAGTGTTGCAGAACAAAGACGATGATTTTTCAAAACACGATCTGCAAAAACTCGTTTATTTAGATGCTGTTGTTAAGGAATCGATGAGAGTGCACACTGCCGTTCCATTTATGGCTAGAAAAGTTGACGTGGATGTTAAACTGAGTAAGTATATTTTTTTAGTAACTTATTGTTTTGTTGTTTACAACCGACAGTTCTCGTATCTTTTAGTTATGGCTTTTTATAGGGATATTATGGGAATTTATATTTCCTAAAGCCTTTGATAACCCATTTTCAATGTCATCACAATAATAATGAAGTTTTACTAATCCAACATCTTTGGTAACTGCCCGTTGGTCATATTTTGAATGATACTCGTATTATCGGATATATTTTGATAATGTTTAATACCAAACAGCATATACTTCGTTTTTAATTTACTCTTATATTTTTCAAAGACATTTCGTTTTAAAAACGTCTTGGCATACTCTCCTTTTTCCAAATTTTCTGTTAATTATGTAGATATCTTTCAAAATTCTTATAAAATTGGTGTTTAATTTCAGAAAACTGCACGTTACGTGCCAACAGTACTTGTGTAATTGGGGCTCACGCTCTTCACCGTCACCCACTCTGGGGTCCTGACGCAAAAGAATTCAAACCAGAGCGCTGGTTGAACCCCAGCACCTTGCCTGACAACCCTGTTGTTTTTGCTGCCTTCGGTGTTGGCAAACGAAACTGCATAGGTAAGAGTATAGAAAATGTTATTGCGTTCTACGTTTGTAGAATTTAACTTATGATCAGCGATCTCAAACATATTATAAATCCGTAGTATGTTTCACTTTTAAATAAGTTAATTGGTAGTTCAAAGGCGACATTGCAATATTTTTTTTTTCTTAATCCATCAAACCGCTAGCGAACGCTAGCGTTCACAAACCTATTATTCTTCTATTGGGTCTCGAATTACCATGTTCGAAAAGTTAAATTTCTTAATTTGAAATTTACGTTAGTCTATAGGTATTCGTAGAGAAATTATGTTATGTTATGTTGTTAGGCTCTTAATAAACTAGTGCGCCTTACCATCAACGATTGCATCACTGCTTACCATCAGGTGGGATCGCAGTCAAGCACTAGTTTATTGCAAGTAAAAATAAAAATGTTGTTGCTAAATGTTATAGTTATGCTCCCATTTGTCAGTGTTAATTTATTATTTTATCTTTTCAGGAAAATTATTCAGTATTCTGATGATGAAGACGGCGTTAGCACACATCGTCCGACAATATCAAATTTCTGGCGATATCCACAATATAGAATGTGAATTCGACGTAGTTGTAAAACCGGTAACGGGTCACCATATTGGTTTGAAATTAAGATCTTAGATTTGTATCCTTGGCTAGTGCTAGATTAAATGTTAAAGATAGAAAATAGTAATTTATTTTATAAGATGCTTAAAAAAATATTTTGTTTTCTATAGTAAAATCAAGTTACTTTTTGCGTAGCTAAAACTAGGATTAAGTAGGATGAAAATATATTATGTTATATATACGATCCGACGATAGCTTGGAGTTAATCAGTTTTGTATAGTGTAAATCCTGGTAGATTAAAAATAAAAATAAAGATTTCTTGAAAGATACATTTTCTTATCTGCTGTACTGTGAAGTACTAGAAATAAAATTCTTCCTTTTAAGGATTTATGGTATTAAGAAGTGGTGAAAAAATTTAGCCAATAATACCTACTAATCTCAAAACAAAAAAGTTTTGTTATAGAGATACTTTGTGGCGACGTGACTGAAGTACCATATTTTACGAGTATAAGTACCTTAAAATCATTATCGAATGTTTCTGTATCACCACATTTTCAAGTTTTGGATTTACCTTACCTATCTTTTGGGCTTGCAGCAATTTAAGTTATTATAGTTAAATTAATGGGTGTTGTAAAAAAAACTTTGACAACGTCTAACATCCGAATGACCACTGATTTTTATTATAATTTGAATCGTAGTTGTGTGTACTGCGAAAAGAAAACTAATTAATTAAGCAGCACCAAAGTATTTTCTTTTGCATTATTGTTATTAAATATAAGTTATATAATACAAATAAACCATTGTAGGAAGGGTAGATTGTTCTTTATTTGGAAGCCTTGTTTTAAATTCGCTACTTGTACCTCTTCTAAGGGGTGTCAACCTTCACCACATGTTAACATGTTTTTTTTTGTGAGGGAGAAATGACTTCTCCCGCCTAGAGTCGGCGGGAGGAACTGTCAGACTCTTATTATAAACTCCATGTTCCTTCCTCATTGCGCTTATCCCGCAATCCCGGCTAAACATCGGCCGTAAAGGGCCCCGGATGTTGTAGTAGGGTAGTAAAATCTCAACTTGAATTCTAAGGTATTTTTTAAAAGTGATCAAAAATGGTCCAACTTAGATCATCGGTAAGCGATCAGTGCGTCCATACAGACCTGCAACGTCAAAGAAATTAAGTAACCATTTCGTAACAATAAGTATAGATTAATAATAAATAATTATGCACGTTATGATCTTGGATAGTTTCCTACGACCTTATTTAGATTTTTGTAGTTTAGAGATGCTGGCGTCCCACAGACAACAATGCAGCATGAGATGTTGCATCAGCAGCTATGTTTAAAGTTGCCGGAATCTATATCTTTATAGTTTCTGAAGCAAAAAATTATATAAATGTAACAACCAAAATTATATAATTGATGAAAAACTGAATCAAAAAAACAACGTAGCTACAAATTACTGTTTTCAGCATCATGTTATTTCGGGTGTAAATAAACACTCGAGATTTATCGGCTAACAAACAGACCGATTACCCGATGGTAAGCAATCAGCGCGGCCCATGGACAACCGCAAGACCAAAGGCTCCCCTTTGGTCTTGCGGTGCGGTCTTATATGCGATGTTGGCCTTTTAGGGATAAAAGTTTCGGATATTTAAGGATTGGGAAGGGATGGGGGGAGGGGGAGGGATTGGGCCTCCGGTATCCTCACTCACACGGCGAAACTCACGGTTGTTTCACGCCGGTTTTCTGTGAGGCCATGGTATCACTCTGTTCGAGTCGAACCATTCGTGCCGTGCTCTCTCACACTTAAACATGTTTCTTGAAAGTGTTGAAACAGAACTTCGATATGTCACTAAATTAAATACAGTCATGCATAATTAGAATCAACTTTAATTAGCGCCTTAAGACCTTAATGTTAAATTAATGAGGGGTTTTTCTGGTTTCAATACGATTTCATAATTATGCTTCAAGGTACTGATATCACCAGAAACTTGGAACTTTCGTACAATATGTGCAAGCGATGTCTTCAGGGACATCATGGCGTACTGTTTCCCTGTAATAATATTAAATTTAATCAATATGGTAACACTAGGCCAGTTTTGTAACTATGTATGTATGAGAAAACTATTAAGGTTGACATACCAATGCATATTCGCTTGCCAATACCGAATGGGGCGAATACGTTGGAAGTAGAAGGTAAAGTGGCGGGATTCAGCCATCGCTCCGGGTTGAACTCCTTTGCGTCTGGTCCCCATGAGGAGTGACGGTGAAGGCCGTACAGTGACAGGATACATATACTTCCCGCTCGTAATGTATACTTCGCTGAAATTATACAAAAAAAATAAACATACTTTAAAATATAGCTTTTCATATGTAATTGTGATGTCTATTGTATCGATTTGAGATATGGGAGAGCTAAGCTTTGGCACGGATGGATCGGTTCGACTGGAGTGATACCACGGCCTCACCAGCGTAAAATAGACACAGCTTTGTGTTTCGTTGTGGGATTGAGATTACCAAAAGCCCATTATATCCTCTTCCCATCCCGCTTCAATCCCTAAATCTACAAAACCCTTATCTCCAAATGACCGTAACTCCTCTGTGTTTTGCGGGTGTTTATAGTAGACGCCGATTACTTACAATTATTAATAAACTATTCTTAGAAAAAACAGAATTTGTCAAAAACCAGCTGCATTAACTAGTCGTACTTATTAATGTATTGCATAACTAAGAAAAATTTAGATTAACGAAAAATACTTACGTAGCACAATATCATTATCAATATTTCTCGCAATCAAAGGAACTACATTATATGTTCTCAATACCTCCTTTATTACTGCTTCCAAGTATACGAGTTTTGTCAGGTCGTGTTTCGTCAAGATTTCATTCTTTCCAAAAACATCTTGAATCCTGTAATGTTATGAAAACAGTTTATAAGTTGACAAGTTAGTTGTGGTACATAATTATCGCAATGCACATGAAATAATAAATCATTATGACATGAAATACTAATCATAATACATTTTTTTTCTTTTGCAAAGATTAAGGAACCTCCGATGATTTGCAAAACTTACTCATTATACACTCGATCCTGTATAGCAGGGAATGAGCCTAGCACCAACAGTACAGTTTGCATCGCTACTGAAGTTGTGTCGTAAGAAGCTGCCACGAAAGTATTTAGATGCGCCCTGATTTCTTCATCAGAGAGAAGGTATTGTTCATTAGATAAATGCAGCATCAGGTCTAGCGCAGGCTTGAATTTACCTGAAGCATAAAATTTACATTTGACTAATTTTCTCATAAAAATATGTGTGTATTTAAAAAAAATATGTATTAGAAAGATGTCGAAACAAAAATGGCCTAAGGACGAAAAAGTTGAAAAGTTTTTCACCTCGTTTCTAAGATTACCACTATCTGGTACACAACAAACACCCGTGAGACAAGTGTGATTAGTTACCTCAAAAACCGCAATACATGTATGACACAACCTTTACCCTTCACACCATTAAGTGTCATCAAAATTAACATTATTTTACCTGGTACTGAAACATCATCATTATTCGTATATTTGGTTGCTGTTAAGTCAGATTTCCTTTTTTGAATTATCTGAAAGGTATAAAAAAATGATTTGTTCACCAGAAGTCCTTCAAAACCATTTTTGCCGAAGATCCGATTGTTTGATCGGAATCCATCTGATCGTTTGTAGCATTTGCAATTATACTCACTAGACTAAGAAATAAAAGGACTAATGTGCACACTTACAGGATCCATGGCTTCCTTGTTGTGTATAGATAGTTTTTCTTGTCTCTTACTCATTGAGGTCAAGTTGAAAATAAAGGAAGGATGTAAACCTAAGTTCAAAGCGCGACGAACTACAATATTTGCCATTTCTTCGACCGCCTTCGCATAGTCATTTTCAATCATATCTTGATCTGTTGCTTCCATTCCTAATGATGTACCTATAAACACAAATTGGAACTTTTAATAATTATTTGTTTCTGTGAATATTACCCTTATAGAGTCGTAAAGCACGATTCAACACGGTTGATTTCTAAAACATTTGAAAATGTAATCGTCACATCTCATTACAGCAAAACGAAGTAAGTCCACGTCCTATTTAAGTTCTACAAATGTTTTTCTTTTTAATTTATTTTGTGTCCTAAACTTACGACAAACTAATCTTAGAATATATTCAATCAAATAATCTGCGATATCAACTGGTCCCTTTGGTGACACTGTAGCTAATTGTGAGACAAGTCGTTGAGCTTGTGCATTCATTTCGTTTAGATATGTGTTCAATACTTGCTGACTGAACGCTGGATACAATAGCTTATGGTGTTTCTTCCAAATAAGCCCTGGAATAGATACATTAAATTAGAACCTGATTAATCATAAATACGATGTAAATATAAAAATTTGTATACCATCTGAAGTTATCAATCCGTTTCCTATCATATTTGCCATATACTCGTAAAAAAATGGTTTGTCTAAGCACGAGTTTGCTACGATGGTGACTGCATCTGGGTCGTTTACAACTGTAATAAAAATTTCATGGTGTATTGCTCTTATTTTTTCCTTAGCGTTCGTTATGAATCAGAACTGTAATGTTAACAAATAACTAAGATGTCATTGGCACAAACTGATAAAAATACAATAACGACACTGAATTAAATCTTAATATAGGACATTGTTTTAAAACATACATGTTAAAGTAGGGCAGCCAAAAAAAGCTTTCTAACCGGCGTAGAAACATGTTTACGGTAAGGTACTGGGTACCGTATCAAGTACTTGCCGTTTCCTAGTAATGCGTCACTGACCGCTCGCCATTAGCAGACGAGAAAAGAAAATGGCGACAATAGAATACCAGTTTGTCCTAGTTATTACTATGTAACGCAGGTTTCTGACTATGTGAACTACAAGTGGCTTTATGTTGGTATCATATAAAATTTGTGGAAATAATGAAATTGAGTCTTATACAGTCTACCTTATCAATAAGATATAAAAAACTGAAACAACCATTAATAAAATTAGGACCACGATAAATTAAAATACTAAACAAATCCGAAATATAGATACAGTTTTTGCTCGCGAGGTCCTCTGCTTATAAAGTAAAGTCATGAATTCCAGACATGACTGCGTATCTATAACTTAAGTCATTAATCTATTCATCTCACTCGCACCCGCCACCCGCATAACCTATGTACTCCTGCTATTTTCGAGATAAATATAATAATACTTTATCTTTCGTCGGTTGTCAATGTGTTGTTGAATCAAATACCGCCTAAATGTTTCTTAATGCGTAGAGTTCCCATTTTTGTTGTAAAATGTTGATGGTGTTGATTCGGTAGTTGAAGATCTAAATTGATTTCTGTTACCGAAACATTCCCGAGAAAAAGACTGCTTAAATGTTCTCAACCTGTCACTGTACCAAACACCATAACCATCTTTAGAGTTAAAAAAATAAACTGTGGCAGTTACTTTTATAGATCCTGTTCTATAAACATAGAAACTATTTTATGTTGTTTTCCAGAGTTTTTGTCACTGAATTCCATGCCATGGTATTATTAAAATGTGCCTATAGTCCCATATTTCTATGTGTTTTTAATGTAATAAGTCGGCAAACAAGCAGATGTATTACCTAATGATAAGCAATTAGCGCTGTCCTTGGACACCGCAACAACAGAGGAGTTATGAAAGCATTTCCATCTTTTAGGGGATCTCCAAATATCTAATTTGGAGATTTATGGATAGGGTGGGATTGGGGGAGGATAAGGTTATTTTACACCAGTTTTCTGTGAGGCCGTGGCCTTACTCTGGTAGCGGTTACAATTTTAAACCTATTTATATTCGTTCCCGGAGTTTCAAATTACTGTACCTGTACCCGAACTTTGAAGACTATTTTATATCCGTTCCTAGCTTTTCAAACTACTGTATTTCTTATTTCCATTCAAAACGTTTGCGTTGTTTAAACTAACTCCTCCGAAACGGCTCTACCAAATGTTATGTGCATATTCAGTAGGTCTAAGAATCTGCTTCTGACTATTTTTATTATAAGGGTGAACCACCCTTAGCGCTTAGGGGTAAGAAAAATATTTTTTTAATAAAAATAACATTTTTTAGAAACTTATATGGCAAAGACGTTTACCGGGTCAGCTAGAATACTAAAGGAACGCATCACTTAGGCTTACGTCACTACAACCATAACCTACCATAAGCTAAATAAGGCCCAGCCCGTAATTGACAAATTCCTCCATTTTCCAACACATGTTCACCAACATTTTGGAAAAAACTCCATAAATCTGAAAAGAAAAAAGGTGTATATAACAGAGCTGCTTTGACATCAACTGGCTACTGCGCAACGTCATAATTATGTTGCTTAGCACGGCACAACTGTTTGTATGATCCAAAAATTGTTGTTCTACTTCTGGGATGTGATGTGTCCGCGAACATGTATGTTTGTTAACGACCCCACTATAAAAGCAGTTAGATTAATCTGCTTCTTGAATTCTTTCTTGAGTTCTCACATAATAAAACTGACTGAATGAGGTTACAAAAATGAATTGTAAAATTTATGGAAAAGGAGTAACTAAGCAACCATGGATTCGAATGAAGAAGAACAAGCAAATAAAACTATTTAAAAACTCCAACGTTACTCTCGTAATCATCGTTTTACAGGTTCATTATTTATGTAGAACAATGTAGAGAATAAGTTGTTAAAAAAGAACGAACAATGGGATTAATTCCTCATTATTAAATTTTTAATTCTTTATCATCTCGAACATGGCGTTCACATAATATGCACACTGACTAGCCAAAAGAAAGCCTAGTAAGTCAACAATACATTTGAATAAAACAAAATAATTTCAAATAAAATCAAGCTTAGTTAAGATAGTTTCATAACGTATAGTTACCATTGCGGTATTTGAGCAACAGATGCCCATGTCCTATGATCGGCAACTGTCCAGGGTATATTGGTGGTGAACGAGGGTAACGTTTCCACCAGCAAGATACATACACAATGCCAAGTAGCACAACTAGCACTAGCACAAACATTGTACACAACACAATATGAACTGTAGTCCTACGCATAGGTAGCTTGTATTTATAGAGATAAGCAGACGCAAGGCATGTGACATACGAAAATGTTTTTTCTGAAACAAATAGTTTTGTAAATTACCAAAAAATTTTTTGAATGCCTTAACTGCTGTGTTGGTAATCGATGGTCCTTATTATAATCATAGTTCTTGCAAAAAGTCAGGAATACACGATGTTATATTGACAAGTATTGTGGCCCAAAAAGAAGATATTATGCAAAAAGGCTGATTGATTGATTGATGCTTTGACAGATTTTATTTAAATTACCTACTAAGTGTTGCCTTGCATATATGAGTGCAAAATTTAGTTTAAAAAAATATTAATCAGTTATGAAAAAAGTTATAAAATGTTTGATTGCTAAAATCATCCTATGACTTTTCTCATCCTGGGTCGGACGAGAGGGAGTGCCAGACTCACACTTACCTCACCGCTTCCGTATTTGCGACGCTCCGGGCTTTGGGAGTGGGACGACGATCTCCGGCCACCGTCATAGTGCACGTCTGCATTAAGCGACGAAAGGGCTGCTCGCTTGCCGTCCGGAACCAGACCCATGTACGGCGTCTAGAAAGCCAATGATGGCCTCAAATTGGGCCCAACAGAGCTGATGTTTAGCTGGGCTTGCGGGTTAAGCGCAATAAGCTCAACCTAGAGTAGGTGAAAAAACTGGGTTTTTTATTCAGTAAGGGACTTCCTTTCACCCTTACCAGGGTAGGAGAATAGAGTAGGTACTGCCTGAAAAAAAAAGAGGATAAACAAGGTGCTTTTAGTAGGAACTCAGTCATCATTTGAGTTCTTACTAAAAACCAACCCCCTCAATAAAAAGGACTGTATGTCAACAAGAGAAAAAAACTAATCGGCCTCAACAATAAAACTAAATATTATTATAAAATTAACAATTTTTTGTATCTATTTTCTGTACATGATTGACGTTCCATTCTCTACCTTTTGTTCTGTTAATACGAGTTACGTAAGTATGACCCTTTACACAGAAACATCACAGTAACGCTATCAAACTTATTGTTTGTGCCCTGGCATTCATTTGTATGCGGCCTTAAGTTTGTATTCAATTTTTTTTCTTCTTAATTTAAATGTCGTTGGGCATTCTTCATCTGTCTACTCGTATAATGTAAAATGTATTGTATTAGATATATTGTTTACATTTAGAGGGGTTAATTGATAAATAGTGATGCGTCGCCGTTTCATTGTTTACTCAAAGTATTTCACTACTGATGTTACCTAGCCTGTTAAAAGTACACTTTGGATGTTTGTATCATCAATTTTTTGTGATTGTGTGGTTGCTTTGTAATTATTAATTATCTTACAAGTAGCCTTGGCTTTGCTTTCAACAAATTTAGTACATCACTATAGAATCGCTTTGTTTTTTTTGGGTCACAATGGATTTTAGTCTTAAGATGGCCTAAAAAATCGTTGAATAGTTTTCTCGACGTAACTATAAACACAAACATTTTCTACACGAAATAATTATAATAGACGTCCAAAAGTTATTCTAGAATTTGTTTATATTTTACAGCCTTTTAACTGTTTGAGGTCAACTTTAGTTGTTGATGTTGAATAATTTAACCCTCCCCCCTCTCTTCCCGCGCTTCTGTCTCCGTAAGAGGATGCGTAACGATCTCTAGCCACCATAAGCGAAAGTCTGCAGACAGTAAACAATCCATCGTTCTCCAAACGATGGATCCAATCATTGAAACAACCATTGCATCCGTAAGTTAGTACCTCCAAAATTGCCCTTTTGTAGGCGTCCACAGCTTCTTCAAGCAATGAAAATCCTGCGTGGAACCTTTCAGGAATTCTGTCGCACCAAGTGTCGCGAGCTGCTTTTTACTTTTCACAGAGCGAATGCGGTGTCCGTCGGCAAAACAACTTGTTTTATACCTAATTGTTCATGCGTGCATGAGATCATTTGACTCATGCCAATGTCTAAAGTGGCCTGAATTTTTTCGTTGTAAATCACGTGTCAATCTTCCTCAATCAGCTTCAGTTCATCAAAATTAACGCGATTTCTTGGTTGACTGCAGTTTTTGGACGACCTTGACGGAGATCATCACTAAGCTTGACACGTCCAAATTCAGCAAAACAGCGATAAATTGTGGTTTTGAATCAGCCTAAATCACCAAATGCAAAAAGCCAGCGATCAACACACTGTTTTTGTGTTAACCTATTTCGAAAGACATTGAATTTTCTAGAGTTAATTCCCTATTCTCAATGATTTAACAACGCCTTGCGACAAGACCGTACGTACCGTCTTTCTCAAAATAATTAAATGATGTTCGTTTTTTAAACCAAGCAGATTTAAATTAAAAAGATTCAAATATGACAGGAAAGGTTCTATTATGTGAGAACAGTGTCACTAATATTCAGTCAAAGCATCGGAAAAGGAAAATATCCCGAAGGAATTATATTCAGATAGTCTCGAGTTGACCGGTCCCAATTGATGGCGCTAGTTTACGAATAAGACTCGTACACCAGCACCAGCAAGGTATTTTGAGGCAACCGGGACTTATAACTTGCATTCGAAAGTTTAAAATCATCAATCCATCTTGAGCAAGCGTGGTGATTAATGCTCAAATCTTTTCAATGTTTCACAAAATTGCTTAGCAGTAGGCATTTACTGGCTGTTGATAATATGATGTGACGTTCTATGTAAATTTTAGTTTGGTACATGGTATATGTTTAGCGGTTTGCCCTTAGCCCTTAGATAGTTTTTCTTCTTGAGGATTAGTATGACTAGTAAATAAACGGAAGCCAAGCAAATAATACCGACTAGGTGTAAAAAAAAACGGATATTAGTTGATCTTTTATTAAAATTACACGAAATATGAAACGTTAGAATGATACATTTGATAAAAGCTTAGAATATAGTTTTTATATAGTCACTATTTATACTTAACTTTATTTATGTGCTGGTTAAAAAAATTTACATGATACGAATCTTCAATACCTAACCCCACAGCGTGAGTACCAATTTCCTAAGTATACAAGTCTCTTCATTCAAATCACATTTACACCATGGTCGTATAAAATTCCCTTAGATTATGGTAATGCCTTTTTACCCTACGACCTTGAAGTTAAACTCAATAGATTGCCAGAAATTGGTTTGAGAACAACTTCATATTCAGATTCTAATTTACTTATATCACTTTCCAGGTGGTAGTTTCGTACGACATACGCAATAACTATCTTCATTAGAGTCATGGCGAATTGTTTACCTGCAAAAATAAAATAAAATAATCATGATCATAAATGAAATTGAACGCAGCGCAATGTCGGCTTATTGAATTATAACAAGCTCATGGAGCACGTTGGAGGTGACATTTTTTTTTTATTATTTAATAGGTCGGCAAACGAGCATACGGATAACCTGATGGTAAGCAATCAGCGCCGCCCATGGACACTCGCAACGGAGGAGTTACGAGTGCGTTGCCGACCTTTTAGGGATTAGAGATTTGGAGATTTAGGGATTTAGGAGGGATTGGGGGAGGGGAAGGATTGGGCCTCCGGTACACATTACATATACCTATATGGAAGAGAAACTACTCCAATACCAATATATAGGTAATTATGCTGGCTGCTCTCGAGACAAGTCACCGATCCTCATTTTTAGCTTGCGTATTTGGCTAGTTATCTGAACAATGAAGAAGACAGTTTTGTATTTAGCTATGACGAAAGAAGTAAAGAGAGAAATTCTTCTGTTTGGAGGATAAAAGACATGATCTGCTGTGGTTGAGTTTTCTTTTCAGGTTAGGTTAGGAAATTGCAATATTTTGCTCATGACTGTTTGCGTTAGAACCATTTATTCAATTTGGAAAAGCATTTCATTACAACGTTGATGATGAAGTTTCAGGTACCTACTTACAGTTAAATAGTTAACACAATAATATACACATACCAATACAATTTCGTTTCCCGACCCCAAAATAGCAAAACGCATTAGGATTGGCTGGTAACTTTGCAGGATCAAGCCATCTCTCTGGTTTAAACTCATTCCGGTCTGGACCCCACATAGAGTGGTAACTAACACCGTAGAATTTCATGACGCAAGTGCTGCCCGCTCTCAGTGTGTAGTTTTCTGCAAAAAATGAAAACCAACAATTATTTATATCGACACTGGTCGATAAAATTTCATTTATAAGTATACGATCTTTTGATAGCGTACTTATCAGCACAGCTTTAGAGATAAACCTACTTAACTTAACGTCCTTCTCAATTTTCCTGGCAATTCCTGGCAAAGGGGCAAACACTCTTAGAGTTTCTTTGATCACTGCTTCTACATACTGCAATTTCGCCAAATCATATTTTGAAATGTTTTCGTTGTTATTTGGTTGGATTTGTTGAACTCTGAAATATATAAATTATCTAATAAAAATAAGTATTTGAAAATGTTGTTAGTAGTTGTAATTTATCAGTCAGATTCTTAGTTTCACAAAGTGAAATCAAGACTATCGCTGAATAAAACTATCTAGATGTGTAAAGTGTTCGGTGGATGCAATGTCGTGGTTTTAATTAAACCTTTATCTAATGATGTTAATATTATGTTAAAAGTAATTTAAACAAAGACATACATGATAAAAGTAATTTTAGTCTTGAAATGACTTACTCTGCTAGAATTTTCTTTTGTACTTCTGGGTAAGATCCTATTGCTAAAAACACATGCATGAGGGTTCCAGTTGTTGTATCATATGCTGCCATTACAAAAGAATCCAGGTGCTGTCTAATTTCTTCATCACTCAACATATTATGGTCCTCAGCTAATTGCAGAAGGTGTTCTAATAAACAGCTAAATTTGCCTGGAAAGCAAAGATTTTTATTTTATGTTAAAACTTGATGAACGTTTGTATGATGTGTCATAAACCACAAATGGCATTGTGGATTCAAAACTTAGATATGGGAACTTGGATGGGTTACCCAAAACTTAGAAACGTAGGGTAGGTGAGAGTGAATAAAGTTGGTATGGCGTGCATGTTTGATAGTACTTACATGGTTTGGGATAGGTACACACAAATATTGGTTGCAATTCAATTAATGTGATGTAGTGAACCATACATTTTAGTTTAAATGATTTCATCAGACATTTAAGTTCAACAGGTTAGGTATAAGTTGTTTTATCATGAAAACTTATGATAAATATTTCATAGTTTTTGTGTTTATTTAAACAATATTACCTGGATTCAGAATTACCTGGTTTTACAGCATCATATTCTATAAATTCCCTTTTTTTGTTCTTCCGTTCCGATTTACGTTTAGCAATAACCTTAAAAAAGTAAAGTAACTTTAGTTTATTAAAAATATTCCAATAATAAGTTGTGTAATAGTGTGTATAAGTTCTCGGGGGGTGTGAAATAAGGTTCGACGCACGATCAACGGTGAAATAATATATATTGAGACACTTTATACAGGTAAACTAATACTAAAACAACAATTACTCAAAGTTCGCGGCACAAATACAAGGGCGCGTGCGTCACGGTCGCCGGCGCGGGGACTCACTCCCGTTTCGCGCCTACGCAAGCGTCGAGCGGTCAGTGGCGGGGTAGTGGAAAAGGGGTGTGGCGTTGCCTATAACGCCACGCGCATGCGTCCGACACAAACCGTTTAGGATGCCGCGTTACAACCTCCCCCTCTGACCTAGACATAGCGCCCTCGCGTCTAGGTCAGTCTAGATATCGTTTAGGTCTTCTACGCCTACGCTTCTCGTTTACAGGCGGAACCAATACATCGCCTACGGAAGGGGCCAGCTGAGAGACGTGGTACTTACCCAAAATCTCGCCACCGCCTACTGTCTCCAAAATATGCATCGTGGGGCTAACGACCCGCTTAATCCGATATGGACCTTCTCGACGTGGTATAAACTTCGGAGTTTGTCCACAGGGAGCATCGTTGCTACCCCGGGTCTTTAAACGAACCTGACCTTCTGCGGAGTATTCCGGCGCAGAGCTACGTTTCGGGTTTGCTCGGTTCCTACCATAAACTTCGCGAGCATGTTTGGAGGTAACCAGAAATGCCGTTTCTGGGTTTCCCTGTTCAGGGCCAGGCCTGCATAATATTCCGGCGGACGTGGTGTAGCCACGGTCAGACCGACTCCTCCCCCTGAACGGATCGTGCTCCGACTCCTCGCGTTGAGTTTCGCGAATGTCCGCTGCTGCCTTCATCAGCTCCATATCGTTGCCAGTAGGTAAAGCGGATCTGGTGGCGAACGGATGCCAACCCGGCTCGTCGTTAAAACACCAGCTGCACTGTGGTAGATCCAACAGGATATTCGCTTTTGTAATAAAATCTCTACCGAGCAACGTCCTAGTTCGTGCCTTCGGTAGCACCATAAACGTGGTAGGTATCACGCGTTGTTTTAAAATGACGTTGACGTCACACTCCAACGCGATGTATTCTTGCTGTGACCCGTCAGCAAGACCAATGGTACGCAAAACCTTCCTAAAGGCCACGCCGGCGTCAACAAGCAAAGAATATAGCATAGGGCTCGCAATAGAATGTGTGGCACCTGTGTCCAGTATGGCCACGCCCTTACGGTAAACTACTTCAATGTCTATCAGCGGTCGCGAATCACCGTCGCTCATATTTACGGTATAAGCACTACAAAAATCTGCTTTACTCGAGCTAAGTGTAATTTTACAGTTTTCGCATTTTGATCGCACTACTCCCAGCTGACCACATCCGTAGCAACGTACCTGCGAGCTATTATTAAGATTACTAGAAGAATCACTATTTTGCTTCTTCTTACGACAGTCCTCGACTGTATGTCCGAAGAGTTTACAGTACGAACACTTCGGTCGCGTATGCTTACGTACGTCGTAAATATTATTGTTTACGTTAGACGCGGAGGCCTCACCTGACATGGCCGCATCGCGTGAACTTACTACAGATTTAGCGCTACATAATGATTTTGAACTAATAGGTTCGACGACGGTATTTGAAAGGGTAGGACTCCGGTTTGTGTCAGAACGGTCACGCGTGACGCACGAGTCAACAAGGCTCATATCATTATTATTATGAATGGGAGAACTTACCTCCGCCAGTGACTCCTCGACTAACCTGACTTTGGTGATGAGTTGCTCCAGCCCGTCGACGGAATCACGGCACACGCGTTTTCTTATTCTACGATCTAACAGTCCGTATACAATGTCCAACTTCATTATCTCCGGTACTACGTACGGTAATTTTGATAACAAAGCGCGCACTTTACAAATATACACGTCGGCCCGTTCACTATTTTGTTCGGTAGCGAAAATGTCTCTGAAAATCTTATAACCGGGTCGCGGCACTCCAAACATCCCTCGAAGTCGCTGCAGGGCGTCGGTCCAAGACGTAACCGACGACTTCACTCCTTGCCACCAGACGGCGGCCTCGCCAACCAGCAGCATCGGCAGCCCGCGCAGCGCGTGCTCGTCGCTGACGTTGGTGCACTCGCGGTAGACTTCGATGGCCTCTATAAAAGCTTCGAGCTCATCCGCGTTCCTCGATGATCCACTAAAGCGCGCTGTACACTTCGCGAAGTTACCTACGCGTGGCGCGTTCGTACAAGCGTCGGCGTCTTCGCGACGCGGTGACGCCGTACTCGGCGGGTTTCTGTTTCCCGCCAAAATAGTTTCAATTAGAACTCTGTTTGCTTCCACTTGACTCCTAGTGATGTTGGAGACAAGGGTGTTGAGCATATCTGCCGACATTATATAGTTCGGTGACGAAACCACAGTTCTGTTCATCTCGACGTCTGTGTCGGATTCCGATCCCTCATCTCTTCCAGTTCTTCTCTTCGGCGGCATGGTAACAGGAAATTCGCGCTGTTACTCGCTCGAAGAGCACGGGTGATGGCTTCAAGGATGGTACTTAGATTGAGTGAGTCGGTATGATAGGCATATACCAACTGACGCCGCCGGTAACGCGCGGGAAAAATGGACTCGCCCAAATTTGTTTGCGTAGGTATTTGCGCTGGTTCTGCGATAGTTCTTGTGTGATGCACTATCGGAAAGGGTCCACAGCATGTGTTTGCACAATAGGAACACTAGAACTTATCGAAATTTTGAGTTTTTATGCACTTTCACTGTTCGTTCATGTCGATCGTGGCCGCGAGTTGGGCGTCACTGTAATAGTGTGTATAAGTTCTCGGGGGGTGTGAAATAAGGTTCGACGCACGATCAACGGTGAAATAATATATATTGAGACACTTTATACAGGTAAACTAATACTAAAACAACAATTACTCAAAGTTCGCGGCACAAATACAAGGGCGCGTGCGTCACGGTCGCCGGCGCGGGGACTCACTCCCGTTTCGCGCCTACGCAAGCGTCGAGCGGTCAGTGGCGGGGTAGTGGAAAAGGGGTGTGGCGTTGCCTATAACGCCACGCGCATGCGTCCGACACAAACCGTTTAGGATGCCGCGTTACAGTTGTCAAAATTACAAAGTAAAATAAGCAGTCTGGTTATCTGGTACTCAGGTAGTAAAAGAAGATTTAATTGTAGAAGAGCCACGCCTCCGCACGAATTAGTCAGTTCGACCGGAGTGATACGACTCGGTCTCAGAGAAAACCGGCTTGAAACAACCGCAGCGTTGTGTTTCGCTGTGTGAGTGAGGTTATTGGTGGTCCAATCCATCCCTTCCTCCAATCCTTCCCCAATTCCAAAATGTTTTAATACCTTATCCTGAAAAGGGCGGCAACGCACTCGTAACTCCGTCATTGAGGCTGTTCATGGGCAGTACTGATTGCTTACCATCAGGTTCGTCTATCTGCTCTTTTGCCATCTTATCACATAAAATAAGGAAGCAGCGAAAAATTAGGGCATTATGGTACAATGTGCAAAGTTGGTGACGCGTGCGTTCGTGCAGCGGAATGTTGTTGAATTTAAAGATTTTAATTATGCAGATATTTAGTGTATGACGTCGTATAATTGTGTATGGTAAAAAAAATTTGTGCACGCAACCATTGTGGAGAAATTCACCAAAAACTGATTCCGCTGGGCGAACGTTGTCCTGGCGGAACTTTTTTTAATCCATACACTTTAGAAGAAAAGAGATGTATCCAAAAATTAGTGTGTATTTGTGTGTAATTGTGTATGTATGAATAAAACTAGTGCATGCATAAACTTCGGAGAAATTCAAGTTTCCGCTACGCGAACGTTTGGCCATTAGCTAGTTTTCATATAAAGCGCTTACATAGAGAGCTGTAGATTTTTACATACGTCGTTTTGAATTTGTGTATATTTGTTTAAAAAACAGATTTAGAAAAAATCGTAGGGTTTAAAAGATAAAAATATAAACGTAAAATACGCTTATTAGGTCTTAGCTCTTAAAGTATGCACTTTAGGGTCTAGATTTTCACGTTTATACAAACCTTGTAAGTGTCTGCAACATGTTGCCAAGTATCAATGATGTTCCGTTAGTAATTAAATAGTTATAGGACAAATTTACCATGAATAGATCACTGTTTACAAAGCAGTCAAATATCACGACGTTCTAAATGAATGGCATGGTAAAATGTATGCCAATAATTAGTGTATTCATTCAACTATTCACATGCAAAATTTCATGTCATTAAATTCAGTAATTAAAGAAAAACAATTATAATACTGACGAAGCATCGAAAACCTACATAACCCGACCAAGTTCGGATGGCTACAAAAAAGCGGCCGTGCCATATATCTAAGAAACGTTCTTAACTTTCCAATATAGCATTTATTAATATGGTACATTATCGTACACAAGCGTTAGGAAAAAATAAAACACAGTATCGTACACACGCTCGTGCATGCCTCTATTGGTTAAATAGTGTAATAAAAAATATTGGTTAAATAGTGTAATAAGCTACAATATGATAAATATTTACCTAAACAGTAGTACTTAAGTACTTACATGTGGTAAATATTTAATTTCCCTAAGGGGTCTATAGTTAGAATCCTGATCCGTGAAATCTTCAATAGAAATTAGCTGTATGAATTTTATTTGTCTTAAATATAATTAGATTATATCTCAAATCTCAAGCGCATACTTAAATAAAATACCTACGTAAATAGTACCTACTTTCTGTCATAGTCAAATACATTTAAAAAAGTAGGTGTCCAAAAATAAATGACCTATAAATTATTTCGAAACAACAAGTGTGTTATCACCTGTACCAATTCAATACCGGTATTATACTGTAAATTTTGGGATGTTACCTAAATATATTGAACAGCCGCTTTTTTGTAGCCATCCAAACTTGGTCGGGTTATGTAGGTTTTCGATACTTCGTCAGTATTATAATTGTTTTTCTTTAATTACTGAATTTAATGACATGAAATTTTGCATGTGAATAGTTGAATGAATACACTAATTATTGGCATACATTTTACCATGCAATTCATTTAGAACGTCGTGATATTTGACTGCTTTGTAAACAGTGATCTTTTCATGGTAAATTTGTCCTATAACTATTTAATTAGGGCTGGCATCATCGCTTTGCGATTAAAGCCCTTTATCAATAAAGATTAAAAAAAAAAATAACTATTTAATTACTAACGGAACATCATTGATACTTGGCAACATGTTGCAGACACTTACAAGGTTTGTATCAACGTGAAAATCTAGACCCTAAAGTGCATACTTTAAGAGCTAAGACCTAATAAGCGTATTTTACGTTTATATTTTTATCTTTTAAACCCTACGATTTTTTCTAAATCTGTTTTTTAAACAAATATACACAAATTCAAAACAACGTATGTAAAAATCTACAGCTCTCTATGTAAGCGCTTTATATGAAAACTAGCTAATGGCCAAACGTTCGCGTAGCGGAAACTTGAATTTCTCCGAAGTTTATGCATGCACTAGTTTTATTCATACATACACAATTACACACAAATACACACTAATTTTTGGATACATCTCTTTTCTTCTAAAGTCTATGGATTAAAAAAAGTTCCGCCAGGACAACGTTCGCCCAGCGGAATCAGTTTTTGGTGAATTTCTCCACAATGGTTGCGTGCACAAATTTTTTTTTACCATACACAATTATACGACGTCATACACTAAATATCTGCATAATTAAAATCTTTAAATTCAACAACATTCCGCTGCACGAACGCACGCGTTGGTGACTGCCGCAGAGGCACATTGTGGCCTGAGCCGTTAGGCGAGGGTCTAAAGGAGCCGTCCATTCTTCAGCTACTATTTAACCCTAAACACTTTTTCTAGAAAAACTTTAAAAGTATAAAATATTATGTTAATTTAACTTACAGAATCCATAATGTTTATCAACATGTTCGTTAGATGGTTTTGTTTCTTCTTCAATTGAGTTCTGTCATATATCCAGGAGAGATGGAGATATACTTTTTGTATTCGTTCCAAGTAAACTTGAAGTAAGCTTTCAAATGCATGAACATATGTTTCGTCTATAACGGCCTGATCTTCTGCGTCTAGTCCTAGTGAGGTACCTGTAAAAAGTAAATAAATAGTTTTTCTTAATTGCTTTTCATCACAATGCTTCGAGGCCCCGGCTCGGAAGCAGAGAAGACCAGTAACAGTCTCAGTAAGAATCTGACAGTCCAGTCTTTTTTACTGACTAGATTCTTTCTGTTCTCGAATAGAGTGCAAAAGCTTTGTACATTTCCCCTCAAAAATGACTCAACCTGACCTTATGTATGTGATTATATTCATTCATAAATAAGCCGAAATTCTGAATTTATCTCAACTTAAAAGTAGAGAAATCGATTATATATAGCTTTAAATTTTTGACTAAGTTTTCAATTGGGGCCACACCAACAACATTCACGTTCTAGTTTTTTTATGTAATCATAAATGCAGGCAACGAGTTATGTGTAACCATTTGAAAACTTTGTTAAAGAAAAGTGTTTAGGTATGGGCACGATTGATTTACTATTTTAAGTAATAAGGATGAGTCTATTGGCATACATCTATCATAGCCTTTTTGGTTCGAACAAGCCGCAAATAATATGCTAAGTACTTACGACTAACAGTCTTCAAGGTAAACTTTATCAAGTACCGTCGCATGTCGAATGGTCCTTTATCCACTTGGGAATATAAATCAGTGACCAACTCCCGCGTCTGTGTGTTCATTTCATCAATAAAAGTGTCAATTATCCTTTGACTGAAAGCCATATTGAGAAGTTTACGGTGATTTTTCCAAATTGAAGCTAGAAAATAATAAAGCACCGATTCAAAATCCTGAGAAACAATGCCAATTGTAAAAAAAAAAAAACAAAAATTGTGTAGGACCATAATATTGCAAGTTAGTAGGAGGAATTCAACCAGTTTCAAGCTAGAGCCTCAAATTTCTGAGTTATTTAAAGTTGACTAGTGCCAGTGTCACGTATTGCTGCTCGAGCACAAGCGCCCTGGTCTAGCTTGAAACTAGTCGAATTTCTCGTAAAACAGTTAAAATAATTAATTTAATATTATACTATTACACTTAGAGTTCTTACATCTAACATCAAAATAATATAGGTTCTAGATAAACTATTATCTGATAGCAAACAATATAGAAAGCCGAAGATTAAACCAAAAAATGTTATTAAAACTCTTAAGAAGATACTCACCTTCTGAAGTAATTAATCCGTTTTGTACGTAATCCTTTGTAAACTCGTAGAAGTACGATTTGTTTAAGCATGTATTTGAAACTGTTAAGATATCATCTGGATCAGTTAAAACTGTAAATGAAAATATTATTGTTTCATTGGTAATACCTAAGAGGGCATAGTTTAAGGGAGCGTTTAAGAGGCACTCGATCTGTCGTTTTGCTCCTGCGTAATCGTCACATTCCTGTATCCTTGGAATCTGAGTAACCACTGATTATATATGGATGAATGAATGAAACCCAGGAAACGAGTAAATAATCACGAGTAACAAATATTTAGATTAAAGCTAGTACTTACTATAAACAGAATGTGGTCCTAACCACATTTCTAGGACGCCTCCTTTCTCCAGGGAATAAAAACATAATTGCCGCATATATTTCCATAAATCTAAAACAAAAATATAAAATAATATTCGTGTACTTAACTTCAGCTTGTTAGAGATTATATAAAGTCTTATGACCGGAAAATCGTCGAACAGTTTTTTCCCTGGGCAAGACGAGAGTGATTCTCGCCTTCTTCCTACCTAAACTCCGGTTGTTTACCTGCTCCAAGGCGGGCAAAATCGTTGCGTTTGCAACTATTTACTAAAAACCTTGACAGTTTTTTTGAGGGTGCTTTCGCTCGCGCTCGTTGAAATGTGGAGACTTGTCAGACTCTTACATATCCAAGCCTCTAGGCGTTGTTGCTGGGCAACTTTGGGAAGAGTTGGCAAATCATTTGATGTTCTTTCCAAAAAAAAAAAAAAGTTTAGCATTCATGAGGAAACGGTTAGGTAATTATCCCGCTTGCCTTAAATTGACGACCTTAATTTTCGAAAAACAAACCTTGAAAATTGTCACACTATTTGTAAATTTCCACAAAACTCGAAACCGGTTTATATTTTGACAAGGCAGGATTTTAAGAAACACCATAAAGTTTAAAAATAGCTGAGTACTACGAGGTCACTGGTAATAAGTACGGTACTTACGTTTACGATTCCCAAACAACTGATGCCCATGGCCTATGAGTGGTAACGCGCCGGGGAAGGTAGGTGGTCTATCTTTTCGTTGCCTCGGCCAAATCCAGAAGAGGAACAGCACGCAAAGTATTAACACAAGTGTGATCACCAACATTCTGAGGTCGAAAACTATCTGCGCTCGCATTACAAAATACAGTCTACTTTATGTAAACATGTTTTTATTGAAAAATCTTAGTGCATATAATTTGTATAAATTAGTTTATACAAGTTATGTCCGCGGCTTTGGTGAGCAAAAATGCCTGCTCTAGTGCACACTATCAAATTTTGCTATAAGTTAAACTAACTATGTCTGTCACTCTGAATATTTTTTACGGATTAACTACTACAGAAAACCGGCGTCAAATAACCACTCATTACTATCCGGAAACAATATCCCCATTAGGCTGGCAACGCACTTGTAACTCCTTTGGTTTTGGTGTTGGGCGATCGACGCCACTAATGAAGCCGATACTGATTACTTACCATTCGGTAATCCGTTTGCGCATTTGCAAACCTATCTCATAAAAAGACAAAATTTTATCAGATATAAATAAGATGGCAACATCTTGGCAAGCTTTCTGCTTAATGAAGTTTCAACTGGTTTGTTCGAATAGATTACCAACTTATTTAAACATCGTTCATTTCGAGTGGCCCTTGATGGCTGCTTGACTGACCAATTAAGTATTAACACCGTTGTTCCTCGAGAGTGTAGTGCTAAGAGATTCATTAACGATGATGGGCTTGTGGATGTCCGTCTCCAATATCTCAAACAGAAGTCGCAAGCCTTTCAATATTTTTCCAAGAGTGTACATTTTGCAGGGAAATTGAACAACTTCATTCCTTCCATTCAATTTCTCTGTCGGACTACCAGACAAATAGCCAAACGCCTTCTATTTTATGATAAATATTCCATCTACTCACACAAAGCGTTTCGTTTTTATTTATTTGCATGGACCGCTAATAAATGAAATTGTTAGATTGTCTGAGCCTATTTTTTATTTTGAAGACGAAGTGAAAATTGCTCCTAGCTTTCATAGTATGAAACTGCAGAGTGTAGCGTTTTTGCCTTACAGACCACCTCATAACCTTAAAAGACTAATCCTTTTTATCGGGTAGGGTGAGGCGAGCCGGGGTGTCAGGCGCTTATTGACTTATGACCACCCTGTTCCTTCTCATGGTCTAGTGCAGGGTCGCGGTACCTAATTACGCTTGCCCTGCAACCTCGGCTGAACATCGATCCTGTTGGGCCACATATGTGGTGGCTGTTTGAGCGACGCGCTACGCGCCTTACGCTGGGGTTACGGTTACGTGCTTACGGTTGCCGGAGCTCTTAGTTTCATTTGACGCAGGGAGTGTCTCCTACGGCGGCGGCTGGGGCGTAAGTACGTAAGATTTCCGTAAATAATATACGCCATATATGAATAAAAATTAGATATTGAAAGAAAACAGGAGGCATGTCCCAAAAAAAATTAACGATATTAATAATTGGAATACGTTCTTAATTAAAATTTTTGCGCACGGGGAACCAGGCACAACCATACGCATAGATCTAGTCATTTCTCAAGGTTAAAATTTAAAATAAAAACTGGCTTTGAAAATCTTAATTTTTTTTATTATTATAAAGATGTTTTAAGTTTTGAGATTTTAGAATATTACTAACCAAAACGATAATATAACATTATTTTTTTTTATCTATGACGTTGGCCATTATAATACTTGATAATAACATTTTATCTGTGACCTGTTCTTTAATTTGGCTGGAGCGCCTTCTTAGTGGAGGGACAATAGAAAGAACACATCAACTTTTTTATTTATTAATTGAATAGCGTTACTAGTAAAATAGTAGAACCTCATACGGAGAAGGTTTGAACATTAATCATCAAGCTTGTTTAAGGCGGATTGGCGATTTCAAACTTTTAATTAGAAATTATACACCATCATAGAAAGTACATAATTATTATAACTCAGAAAAAGTCACATTGGTACTTTGGTTGGTTTTGAATCCGCACCTTCGTGCAGATATAAAAAACATTTTAGACTCAAAGCAACAAAAAACAAGCGTAGAGTAGTGCCTGGTTATAATAGTGTAGTGGATGTCCCAATCCCAAGTTCGCGCCAAAATAGGCAATTAAGCATGTGCAAGCCAGGGCCTTGCGTTGTTATTATACTTGCCCTCCCGTGACCCGCGGATGACAACAAAACAAAACTAACACACTATCAATTATGTACCACAACAAAACATACCCGACAAGTTTGTGTAAAGTAGCGATTCCTAAGTTCCTGTGAAAGGAAAACGGTCGGTTTCTTATAATATTCACTGTAGTTAGAAACAAACTTGGGAGACAACAAGCGTAGGAGAGCCATGCTTCGGTACGAATGAGTCGGCTCGCCCGGAGTGATACAACGGCCTCACAGAAAACCGGCGTGAAACAACCACAGCCTTGTGTTTCGCCGTTTGAGTGAGGTTACAGAAGGCCCAATCCTTTTTCTCTACTGTTGCATTTTACAGTTCTGTACAAAAATTAAGTAAATCTAGATCTTCATATACATAATAATAAAAAGAAGGCTTTGTTTGACTGCACGGTTGACGCAGTTGCTGTTGATCCATTAATGATTGATCCGGCTCTGGATGTGATGAGTATATGAAATGGTATGTTTGTAAACGCAACTACGATACAACAGAAAAATCTAAAGCAGGACAAAGTTATATTTATCAAAAGAAAAAATTAACACACATTAGAACGGCTGGAACGACTCCCTTTATTGAATTCAGAATTAAGTTGAAAGCAAGATTTAATAAATTTGAGGAAAAAGTCGGAAACGATAAAACCTTTCGAAGCCGTGGCAATGCATTCGCGAACAAAACAAATGACTGACACTAAGATAGTTGGACACCAGTGCGATGTAAGGTCGCGCCTTCTAGTTCTTTACACATAAAAACAAATTTCGGTACGTTAATCTCGCTAAAACGCTGAAACAGGAGAATGGACTTAGTTAATTTTAATATGAAAGTAGTAATGACAGTCAATAAGTATTTAAATGCTGAGAAAGTATTAAGGAAAAACTGCATATAAAGTACTAAAAACGTCGATTTTTATTTCTAAACAGACTCTGTTAATTGACATTAGGTATTTAACGAAGAACAAAACTAAGATTCTAATCTAAACTATTTTAACCAAAACAATTAAAAATCAACCTTGTTTTGACGATTGACGTCAATTTAGAAAAAACCAAAATCGGACCTGTTTTTTCAAAATATACTGAATAATTAAGTAGTTGTTATGCCTAGGTACAAATTATTTGATTGTATTTGGAGTTCTGTAATAGTACTATGAATAGCTATAAAAACTTGTCCGAAAGGTGACGGGCAAAGTTTCAACAATTATTTTTATAACTTGATATGCAAGCCGGGCTAGTTTTTAGCCCTTATTGAGCGCCACATGTGAGGGTTTGATGGCTTTTCAAGGCGCACACGTGACGTTACGCGACGTATGCTTGAATCTGGTTTAGAACAGGTTACAAACCATTCATGCTCACCGATGGCAGGTCATGTGTCATCTTTGAACGTCTTAGGCTAGTTTTCTCACGTGATAAGATCGCCACTATCTTTGCGAACAAGACTGCTAAGCAGAAAGATACATCTTTCCAGTTCTGAACTAAAGCCAGGTTTTAATTGTTTTTTGACGTGACTACATTTTATAACTCAATACTATGGACTACATGCACGAAGAAGATGACATTATCCCGTTACGTTCATACTCATGAATGAGGCGAGAAAGAGTGTTAGACTCTTATGGACTACAAACCCCCGTTCCCTCTCCTGCTCTAGGCCGAGACCGCGATGCCTAACTGCGCTCACCCCATAACCCCAGCAGCTCAGTTTGTGCTAATGAGTGTAATGTTTGACTTTGTGACGTCACAACCATCCGTAACCAACTTTACAGACAATATTATTTTTTTTATATTACAGGATTAACGATGTATTTGGAAATAATGAGGATTTGACTAAGTATGACTTACCTAAACTGGTTTACTTAGAAGCAGTGATAAAAGAAGTTCTAAGACTCTATTCCATAATTCCTTGGATTTCAAGAAAAAATGACACTGATATTGTTTTTCGTATGTATTTTTAATCTTTTAATCTTTTCTGAACCTTTTATCATTACTTGACCATATTCAAAGAAATATGAAATGGGTTCATTTTTTTCGTGTTTCAGAGAATTATACATTGAGAGCTGGAAGTACATGCATTCTGGTATTATGGTCTCTTCACCGTCACTCCTCGTGGGGACCAGATGCAAACCAGTTCAAACCGGAGCGATGGCTGAACCCCGCCACTTTACCCACCAACCCCAACGTATACGCTGCGTTCAGTATTGGCAAGCGAAACTGCATCGGTATTGACACCTAGAACTCATTTAAGACAAGTAAAATTGAAGAGTGCTTCATAATCTGTGTCTGTATTGTTCTTATTTTACAGGGAAACAGTACTCCATGATGATCCTAAAGACGTCGGTTGCGCATATAATACGCAATTTCCAATTGTCTGCTGACATTAGCAGTTTAAAGTGGAAGTATGAAGTAGTGCTAAAATTAACAGCACCATCCCTTGTTAGTATCACGAAAAGATCTTAATTAAAACTAGCTGAACCAGCCACGCGTTATTGTAGCTAAGCTTCTTGTCATATTACATGTGGACAAATAATTTGCAATAAAATAATATTGTGACTATAAATTGAGATGTAAGCTATCCTATCTTTCAAGTTGGATCAAAATGCACACGGAATGCAAATCAAATTTAAAATCGGTTTAGTAGTTTAGAAGTCCATCACGGACAAATACGTGACACCAAATTTTTATATATAATAAAGAAAAATAGAAATAATGACCATGTGTTTTTCAATTCTATACCTTTTGCTCCAAAACCAAATAAAAACCTTCTTTGTCAGACGATTATGAAAAAGACGGAAAATTTTGAGAAATATAAAAAGCATGAGTGTTAAGCAACGCCATTTAATGACTTATGACGTAGAGGTTTGTTTACTCTTCAATAGTTGTTGTTCAAACTAATGTTCTGTGGAATGTGAATGGTACATCATTTTTTAATTATATTTTATCATTTTCTTAGTTCAAGAATTACACAAGTTCTAAAATTGTCTCTCGCCTAAATTATTCTATTTCGAGGGCAACAATATTAAAAACCACAACATCATTATTGAAGACCTATCCAGAACAACACATACTTGTGAGTTTGTTGAAAAAAAAAACACTTCAAACGGAAAATTCAATATGATTTTCCATTTTTGATGTTTTTTTATTGTTTTTAAATTCACAATTATATTAATATTAATTTTCTACTTACCAATTTTCAAACCTATGGATCTCATACAAGTTTCATGAACAGGGCTGACAGACAGACATGGCCAATTTACAAGGGTTTCGAGTTTCCGACATTTTTGCCGACTTAATTTTTAGATTCTTCTCAAAAATTGTAATATTATTATTAATCACAGATGTTTATGAATTAACCAATCCTACAGTATTTATACAATATTTATTTTATGTAAAATTTTAATAATCTTTAGTGAAGTACAAAATATAATCAAAAATGGTACTTTGAAAATGTTTGAAATGAAGTGTTTTACTTGAGTTTCGAAAGCTAGCATTATTTTAATGTGATAGGTAGGCAAACGAGCTGGCGAATAACCTGATGGTAATCAATCGGCGCCGCCCATGGACGAGAGGAGTTACGGGTGCTTTGCCAACATTTTGGGTATAAGGAATTTGGAGATGTAGGGATTGGGGAAGAATTAGTGGAGAGAAAGGATTGGGCCTTTGGTAACCTCAATCAGACGGCGAAACACAACGCTGTGGTTGTTTCATGCCGGTTTTCTGTGAGTTTTTTTTTTTGTGAGGGGAAAATCATTTAATTACTTCTCCCGCTTAGGGTTGTCCAGAAGGGAGTGTCAGCCTCTTACTGACTAAAAAACCCGTTCTTTCTCCTGCTCCAGGCCCAAGCCCGCAGTTATAATTAAGCGCTTAACCAGCATCCTGGGCTCAATCTAGTGTGCTTCAATAACTCTTATATATTATTATGTATTTTGCAATGTGAAAAATTTAAGCGATGTCGTGGGAACTGATTGTTATTATTCTACAAATTTACGCAACTGGCGTTTTAACTGACTAACCGCCATGCTTTGACGTAATAAGAGACTCAGTAATCATGGTGTGCTAAACCTAGCCCTCGACAGTTGCTTTCGGAAACAAATCCTTACTAATGGTTCGTTTAAGTGATCAATTAATGATTCTGAGTATTGTAGTGAGAATGTTTAAAACAAAGGTGAGGTTACATCACTTTTGGCGAAACGGACCCACGATGACGCGACGACGAGACGTACCACAAAAACTCAAAGACAATTCTCTGAAGTTTTTTTTTTTAATGTTTACTCGTAAAAACACATCTTAGTAACATACCTAATTAAAATAAACGGCAAACTGTAAATGAAATTAACTTAAACTGTTATTCTTCATTGTCTTGAAACCATTTAAGAGTAAGTTGGATTCTATTGTATGTTGGTGCCAACAGTTTTAAGTAATTATTACCTTTTTTAGTAATAAAAATAAAATAAAATATACTTTGTCAAAACTGACCTGGCTTTGGTATGTCGTTGCATTTGACAAAAAAAACATCGGCCAGGCGTCGTCGGCCCTACCGTGATGTGATTGCAGTTTAAGGGCCGCAGACCGATAGACAGATCCACACCGTGTTTAAGATGGCCGACGCCCGAAGCGTTTTCTAAGTCGGCTGGGTCGTGAAGAAGTTCATCCCGAAACGAGCCCCAGCTCCCTCCCTGTCATCGTCTATCTTGTTTACTTCAACCACAATACGGCTAATAAAAAAGTAAGTTTGTGAACCAATTGCTACTAAACTAAACTACTTCCCAGAAGCACTTGACGATACGTGAATCGACGTCAACTGTTTGATATGAATTAAATTGATTTTTTTTATCGTAGGTGCACTAACCAATTACTTTTGTTGTTGAAACAATGACAAGGAAAACGTCCCAAATAACCACATTGTTGCGTGAGCAGAACGGCGGGTACAGCTAGTCATTTTAATAATTCTATGACCAAAGACGAGGGTACGGCCAAAATTTAAAATTTCTTAAATTACGGGTCATTAGTATTATGAATAATGTAATTTATATAAGAAAAACTATTAACAGGCCTTTTAATTTGTTCTTTTGTTTTTAAGATAAATGCATAAAAACTTCTTTGTTACGCCAGAGTAGGTGCAGATAGTTGTCGACCTCAGAATGTCGGTGCTCACACCATTTTTAATATTTTGTGTAGTGCTCATCTTGTGGTTTTGGCCGAGGCAACGAAAAGATGGACCACCTACGTTCCCCGGCGCATTACCACTCATAGGCCATGGGCATCAGTTGTTTGGAAATCGTAAACGTGAGTACATATTTATTTCATTACCTTAATAATGCCCCAAGATTTCAAGAATGTAACCGCCATTCGAGACACAACGAATACGAGAAAAAATACGTGCACGAACGCCATTTGGTTGGGGCTTGATAAATTAATTTGATTCTCTGAAACACAATGAGTCAAGAATTGATAAAATATCAAAATATCAAATTTAATCTACCGTTTTTGAGTGTAAATGAATGTCGTGATGTCCCGGAGGTTCAATGGGGCTCCACAGTGTTCTCCAAATTTGATGCAGTGGCTAGCTTATGAGCTAGTCCTGTCCGATTCATAAGCTCGAGCTTGGAGAGGTGGTAAACCTCGTGGCTGGATCACCGCCATATAATCTGAACTTGAATCTTGAATGGGGCAAAATAATTTGATGATACACCCCCTCCCCTCTCAAAAGTAAAGTAATCACGTATAATCGCTCGGGACGTTTAGTATTTTCTAAGTTTATTTAGACACGCGAGTTTTACGTATTTCTTTTAATATTCCAGCATTGTATGGATGCATATCTATGGTCTATTTTATATGTAGAAATTAGTATTAATTATGTATCTTATTTCAGATTTATGGAAATACATTCAGCAATTATCCCATTATTGTTTGGAGAAAGGCGATGTCCTTGAAATCTGGTTAGGACCTCATACTGTTTATTGTAAGTAATAGCTATGCTTTCAGCTTCGCTCAAATGATGATGAGCGTAAACATCCTCACTTACTTTATTCGACTGCATGGTTGGTGCGGTGGTTGGGCAACTGAAAAAATGGTTTTCTTTACTTAGCTACTCCATTTCGAGTCAATACCAATAAAAACGTTCATTTCTCGGGATGCCTACCATCATGTTGATATAACAAACGTAAATAAGTAATAGTTGCTTAGATCAGAATATTATTATTTTGATTGTAATTACTCGTAAATCAGTCTCAGTAATAACTAGCTTGAATACCGTAAGTGATCTCCGACAACGCCCTCTTAATATCATATTTATGTTAATGCTAGATGACGTTGTAAAAAGCCTTTGACCATCCTAACCTAGTCTGATATCCATAAGGTGGCTGGCAACTGTTGTATAAAAACAGGTGAGCATCGAGCTCAGGGACGTACGATTGGAGAGGCCTATAGCCTGCAGAGGAAGGTTAATGGGCTATGATAATTAATTAAGTCTTGTTTCGCTAAAATATTAAACATGATTTTCTTTTCTATTTACACTATAATGTAGCTTATATACTTTTACATATTTAATACTATTGTCTTTTACAGTTTTAACTGATCCAGATGATATCTTAACAGTTTCAAATACATGCTTAAACAAATCTTACTTCTACGAGTTTACAAAAGATTTTATAAAAAATGGATTAATTACTTCAGAACGTGAGTATCTTTTTAAGACATTTGTTTTATCTTTCTTTCTCTCTCTTTATCCTATTCCTTTCCCTTTTCTACTTCTGCTATATATATTATGTAGAAGTTCTTCTATCTTTGTATAATAATAAGTCACCTGAGGGACTCACTTAATTCTTAGTTTGTCTTTCGATTGACGACTAAAGTTTTTAAATAGTTACTATATTTTCTTTCAGCATCAATATGGAAGAATCACCGCAGACTACTCAATACGGCTTTCAGTCAAAGAATACTGGACACGTTTGTTGATGAAATAAACACACAAACGCGGGAGTTTGTCACAAATTTATATTCCCAAGTGGGTAAAAAACCATTTGACATGCGACAGTACTTGATAAAGTATATTTTGAAGACTGTTAGTAGTAAGTATTAAGGCCTATTAATTGCATTCGAGGTGCCGCGTTTGTGTCACCTTCCACTCAATCTTTGTTACTAGTTTCGGATATGTTTGCTGTATTAAAACTATAGCATGCATTGAAACAGATTTCAACAGAATTTATCCTCATTGATAATAGAACATTAAAAATGAATAAAAATATGATGATATAATACATTAGGACAAACATTAATATAACCATTTTCAGGAACATCACTAGGCCTAGAAGTTGAAGACCAAACCATGATTGATGAAACATATACTAATGCACTAGAAAGTTTAACAAAAATTTACTTGGAACGAACAAAAAAACTATATCTACATCCCTCCTGCATTTTCGACAGAACAAATTTGAAGAAGAAACAGGACGATCTTATAAGCATCTTGATAAATATTACAAAAGCTGTACGTTTATTTATATAAATGTTTATAATACTTTAAGGCAGTTCTAGAGAAATTGTTGAGAGTTCGATGATATCAAAAGTGTTATTGTAGATGGTAGTTTAAGATACTAGTAATAATTGAGTAAGTAAAGAGAAATCCTGTTGAGAATTTGATATTTTTTTTTTATCAACGTCATCATTACTTTTGAGCATAGGTTCTTCTCATCTTCAATTGGCCAGTGTTTCAATCGTACTATTTGACAGCCAAACTGCCTTATTTCACTTTGTGAATTGTAAAACTTAGCTATATATATTTTTTGGATTTTTCAGGTTATTGCTAAAGGTAAATCTGAATTGAAGAACAAAAGGATATTGGCCGAAAAACCAGGTAAATATTAATGTATTCGAAAGAGGTATGAATATTCTCGAAAAATATCAACTTTACTTCAAATGAGGATTCGGATCTGATGCTTCTTGTGATTTGTGATCGCTAGAATATCCACCGACCGATTTAGTAAAGGTTTGAAATGGCGTTAAAACAATCATTGCTTTCCAGGAAAATTAAGTTGTTTATTGGATCAACTGCTGCAGTTAGCTGATGACCATCAAACATTTAGTGATGAAGAAATTCAGCAGCACCTGGATACTTTTGTGATGGCATCTTTTGGTTCTACTTCTGGAACCCTTATGGACGTCTTTTTAGCTATAGGGTCTAAACCAGACGTACAGAACAAAATTTTTGCAGAGTGAGTAATTTTGAATTTTGTGTTAAATTTTAAGATTGTTAAAACACTTTTTATAGAGCTTCAATGTCAGTATTATTATGTAAAATTTTAAATAAAACTACAGTTTTATTGGGCTGTTATTTAAGTAAAAAATGTTACAGACAAATCGCTACTACTATATTACAGAGTTCAGCAAGTCCAACCAAACAAGAACGAGAACATTTCAAAATATGATTTGGGGAAATTAGAGTATGTGGAAGCAGTAATCAAAGAAACACTTCGAGTGTATGCCACGTTGCCAGGAACGTCTAGAAAAATTGAAAAAGACGTTAAGCTGAGTAAGTTTTTATCAAAAACTGTATATTGGTAGCATTCTTTTAAACGAAATTCTATTGTCGTTTTTCCTTTTTTTGCAGAAAACTACACATTGAGAGCGGGCAGCACTTGTATATTTAATTTCTATGGTGTCAGTTATCACTCTATGTGGGGTCCAGACCGGAATGAGTTTAAACCAGAAAGATGGCTTGATCCTGCAAAGTTACCACGCAACCCTAATGCGTTTTGTTATTTTGGAATAGGCAAACGAAACTGCATTGGTATGTCAAAATTACTTTGATGGCTATGGAACTAATAACTATACCTGTAATTCAAACCCGCGTTAAATAAATAGTTATCCAAATGAATTAAATGTTTCTATCATAGGAGTCATGCGAACCAACTTGTTCTAATTTCACACGATTTCATTCAGTAGACTGAGGACCGTAGCAGAATTTGATAGCAAATCATTAAGCGACAGTTAATCAGATCATAAATATTTTCTATTTACATACATACATAAAAGATACTGAACTGATGAAAATGAAATTTGGCACACAGATAGTTATAGCCTAAAAGTAGTCTCTACTCCAGTGTTTAATAACAGGGACAAATGAAGACCGTATTATAAAGTGCTGTGTTACACGTTTTATTAGCTTAGCCCATTAAAATGCTATTCAATTGAGTGAATACAAAACTCAACAAGAGCGGATTATTTGAAAATGCAATGCAGTATCCCAATAGATTAGACTACTCGCCGACTTAGAAACAGCTTTCATTTTTTTATAGAATCAGGCGCTACTTTGCGGAAATCCATGACATTAAGTGTTAGGGAAAATATTTAGTTTTAATTGTGGTGTAATTAGGAGTGGGATTGCATCCTGCAACAAGCCTGGTTTTTTGTCGCAGAATTAAAACTAAATATTTTCCCTAACACTTAAGCAGCTTTCATTCTTCGATCAGAGGAATTTCCCGCTTGTTTTCATTTGTGATACGAGTACAACCAAACCAGACTAAAAACTTGACCCTCGGCCTCGTCCTTATTTTGTTCTTCATTTGAGCCAACCAGCTAATTTCGTTTAGCAAATTATCATTTTCTTTTTTTACAGGTAAACAATTCGCCATGACTGTAATGAAGTTAACAGTTGCGTATGTCGTACGAAACTACCACGTGGAAAGTGATATAAGTAAACTAGAAGCTGAATATGAAATTCTACTCAAACCAATATCTGGCAATCTATTAAGCCTAACTTCAAGGTCATAGGGTAAAAAGAGAAGTACCAAAACTAAAGGGGGGATGGAGAGACTTGTTTGTATTCTCTAATACTATGTAGTTGCTAGATATTAACAGATCTGTTTGATGTTGATTTTTCTTAACTAGTACACACATTTAGTATATTAAAACGTATGTACTTAAGTACTTATAAAATGTATAGCTATAATTCTTACAATTTTAATGAAGCTTTTTTTGTATCTGTTTTATAATTGGACTTTTATCTATTTAGTAAGCACCTAGTTTCAATAGAGTTAATATTATTGATTATGTTCCATGTTATTTACTAGTCATACAAATCTGTTTCTATAATAACTATCGTTAGACTAAATTAACTAAAAATTGCAGGTTACTCACGTGTATATACTAGCTAACTACTACTAACTAATAGAGCTTTCCTCAGTATATACACGGGAGTAACCCGCGATTTTTAGTTAATATCATACAAATCTGTCTGTTAAAAACGTCCCTCCATTCTTTTTACATTACTAATTCAATGACTTGAATGTCCTAAATGTGTTTTTTTACAAGGCTAGCAAAAAACTGCTCTTATGTTCAAAAATTACATATTACTTTACTGAAGTTTACCGCTCCAATACTAAATTCGTCAGTCGTTGCGCTGGTATCTTTATCGGAGTTGCACTAGTATGACCAAGCCGAGCGATCAATTCAATAGCAGATTTATTTCTTGATTCAACTGTATCGGATGCCAAAATATCGTAAACTTCCAACAATTTGCAGATTTTGAAGATGTAACTTACAATATCCGAAAGCTTCGGAGAGCACTGCGGTACACGAATCATGGAAATATGATATGTGTAGATATTGTAATATCGAATATTTAGTTTCACTAGACGCTAGTAACCGATTGGAAGATACATATTGTACCAATGTCAGATATTATATCTAGAAACGTGTATCGACTAAGTCAACTCCTCAAAGATATTTATGTAAACTCAGCTTTAACTTTGAATTACATTATTAAATAAACGATCATACATTGACCCTAAACATTATAAATTATAACGGCAATAAAAGAAATAGTAAGTCTGACATGAGTTTTTTTTTCTGGGCTCCAAATACACTTCAAAAAATTTTAACACCCTAAAAACTCTCGCTACTCAAAAATTTGAATTATCTTTACTTAAATTTTTTTTAGTTAGGTATTTGTATTTTTTTTGTTTTGCAATTTAATAAACCCAAACTAATGACAAGACTTATATATTATATATGTAGTGGTGGCCAAGAGGTTAAGGAGCCCGCTTCTCATACATGGGTTCGAAACCTGGCAAGTACCAATGTGACTTTTTCCGAATTATAATACGTACTTTCTATGATTATTTAGACACTACTGACATAAGGTGAAGGTAAACATCGTGAGGAAACCTGGACTTATAATTTCTAATTATAAGTTTGAAATCGCCAACCCGCATTGCGCAAGCGTGGCGATTAATGCTTGCACCTTCTCCATATGAGAAGAGGCCTTTGCTCAGCAGTGGGCACTTATAGGCTGATGATGACGATGATGAAATACACTTCAAAAATTTTTAACACCCTAAAAACCCTCGCTACTCAAAAATTTGAAACATCTTTACTTTCATTTTTGTTAGTTTTTTTTTTGTATTTTGCGATGTAATAAACCCCTTATGACAAGACTTATATATCATATATGTATGTCGTGGTGGCTCGGAGGTTAAGGACCCCGATTCTCATGCATGATGGTGTGGATTCGAAACCTGGCAAGTACCAATGTGACTTTTGCCGAGTTATACATACTTTCTATGATTATTTAGACATCACTGGTGAAGGTAAACATCGTGAGGAAACCTGGACTTATAATTTCTAATTATAAGTTTGAAATCGCCAACCCGCATTGCGCAAGCGTGGCGATTAATGCTTGCACCTTCTCCGTGTGAGAAGAGGCTTTTGCTCAGCAGTGGGCACTTGTAGACTGATGATGATGATGATGATATATTATATTCCGTATAATAAATTTACCCCCATCACAAGATCTGACTCTGAATATGAAGCCGTGACGCTAAAATGTTAGCAATGTACAATTGCACGTCTAGCGCCAGCATTTTTAAAAGGCGTATATTATTAATTTGGTGTCATCATGTTGATTGTCTTTTTCTGAAACACAGGATTCTTCCAGTGAAACGGTGCTCTCCTCTTCACTCATACTTCTGGTGGCTCCATATTGAGCTGTGCTGTCTTCTCATCCGTTGTTCATAAAGCCTGTTTGTTGGTTGCGATCCCCTGTCTTGCCTTCAATCACAATGACGTCATTGCATTTTTTAAATCATATGTCGACAAACGAGCAGAAAGATTAGCTGGTAAATGTCAATGAGCCATATTGTACTATGCTGTCTCCTTATCCACTATCCATGTATCCTAGTCTCTTCGTTTTTTGCGATGTTCCCAATCTCAGCTTTCATCACAATGACGTCTTTTTTTAAGGAATAATTACGAGTCCGTTGTCGGCTTCTCGTGGGTTGTTAGGGATTTGAGGTTTGAGGAGAATTGGGTTTCCAGTAACCTCACTTACACGGCAAAATAACATAAGTGTTACCGTAGTACCACACCGATCGAGCCGGCCAATCAGTGCTAAAGCATATCTCTCACACACTTATATTATCTACTTTTGATTATGGTGTTCTTTGAAGGATTATACAAACTGTATCCTTTGATGTCCTCTCCATATTCAACTAATAGGGACTAAGGAGGTTTTTAATCCAACATGAGGTTTTCCACTTTTTTCAAATTAGTACCATCAAATTATTTTAAAACAACCTCATGCGACTTAAGTTTGGTTAAGACCCATGCCACGGTCCATAACGTGTCTTTGATACTCCTGACTCAATGCACCAGCAATATTCAGGCTTTTATCTATTTATTTTCTTATGAATAATATCGCATTGTTTTAAACAACTCTCAAACTCTTTACTGCGGTACTCCAATCCGTTATCCGTGTTCCACTAGATGGCGTTAGTTAGGTAATACGACGCGAGCTATATGTTAATAATTTTGTATCACAACATCCAAACTCTTATCCCCAAAAGGCCGGCAACGCACTCGTAACTCCTTCGGTGTTGCGGGTGTCTATGGGCGACGCCGGTTGGTTACCATCAGCATCAGTTATCATTGCATTTGTAAACTACAAAATCAAAAACATAGTGAGGAAGTCAATTATGATTTTTGAAAAATAAAAAGACCCCAAACAGGGTGAGAAAAGAGAAATATCATAGGATGATTATACCTCCCGAACATTATACAAGTTTTTCTGACTGATTTATAAAGTTTTATTACCTATTGTAATAAACGTGTGAGTGCAGAATTAGCAAGGTAGGCAAAAAAACCCGTACTATTAATAAAGACATCTATCCATCTAAAAATAAGACAATTAGCAGATTAATAATAATTTTTAGACTTTTTAAAGAATTCCTGGCCTGTCAAGGTAACGTCGCATACTTCTGAAGGAAATCTATCTCCAGGAACCAAGCTTATACGAGGGTCGTCGTTTTGCAACCCAGTAAGTAGTTTTGGAATTCAAAACACAAATCAGTTTATTTATTAAAAAAATATATTTCCATATTATCTCATATTTAATTCGTCAGCTATTAATATAAATACAAGCTGTCTTTTAGCAAGACTACAGTTCATATTGATGGATTGTGGTGTGTACAATGTTTGTGTTAGTGCTAGTTGTGCTACTTGGCATTGTGTATGTATCTTGCTGGTGGAAACGTTACCCTCGTTCACCACCAATATACCCTGGACAGTTACCGATCATTGGACACGGGTATCTGTTTCTTAAACACCGCAATGGTAACTAAACGTTATGAAATTATCCTAACTAAGCTTGATTTTGTTTGGAATATTTTTGTTTTGTTGATTCTGTTGGTTACAATCAAGGTTTTAATTTTATTTTATTATAATGTAATATGATAATAATGCAAACAGGCAAACCTAATGTTGGAGGCACTCTCTTTAAGTTAGGTTGAAATTAAATTAGTATATTAATTTGTAGTTAGCTTTTGACTGTTTTTTTTTTCTTCACTTGTATGGTCATCTAGCAACAACTCTTGTAAGTTATGTATAAAAAAAATCTTTTAAATCGTTGTGGTTTTATAAATGTGATATTTGATTATGTTGGTGCCTTCAGTTCAATTGTATTAAATGATATTTCCTTATTACCTTAAATGATATTTCCGTATTATCTTAAATCACGTATGTAATTATCCAAAATTTGTCCCAAAGGTGAGTGACATGGAGTTCTAATTCTAAAGTACAGGGTTTTTTTCGTTTAGGATCCAGTGCACTCTTGAATTGTTATATTATACTGTCTAAACCGTTCCATTAACTAACTTGTGATGAAAAATACACTAAAATACAGATGTGCAACCTGTGACGTTTTGCATTAGCCAGTTGCCCAGCCTTCGCCAAACGTGCTGTCCAGCCAGCTCCACTATAATTATATTTGTTTTTTTTTTCAGATATATGGGGTTTCTTCCAAAGTGTTGCCGAACATGTGTTGGAAAATGGAGGATTTTTTCAATTCCATTCAGGCCCTTATTTAGTTTATGGTAGGTTACGGTTTTGGTGTCGAATCCCTAAGTAGTGTTTCTATAGTATCACACCTCTTAATTTCCCAAAAAATATTCGTAGTGCATATTCATATGCAATTTATTATGTCTTATGCAAAGTGACACAGATAGTTTCTTAGAAAAATTGAATTTATTTTTCAGGGTTTTTTTTTACAATTTTATCTTTGTATCTTTGTCTCAATTTTATTTGTGGAGGTTTCCGTTTGTTGGATGTTACCAGGAAAGTATACTGTATAAAACTCAATTCAATTAGGTATTGCCTCTAACTCTATATGGTTCCAGTTGTGGTTCACATAAGTCAGAAACTTGCGTGAAATGTTAATAAGAAGCGCAAACTGGTATTCTTTTTTTTCTCATCAGCCAATGCGACGTGACGCCGCGCAGTCATTCAATCGCGCGCAGTCAATGGGATGCTTTTCAAGGAAACGGCAAGGCGCTGTGATTTTACCCAGTACCTCAGTGCCTTACCGTAAGCTTGAATAATCGCCGATCAGGAACCTTTTCTTGGCTGCTCTACTAAGATATCTACCTATGTCTTAAAAGAAACTTGCCCTATATTATGATTTAACCCTGTGTCGTTAGTATGGCAAAGTCATTTTAGTAGTAATATGTCAGGTTCTTGGTTAAGTTTTTCCTTCCGATAAAACAGGGACCTGTTAGTTATTTGTTTACACTATATTTACGAACGTTAGGAATGGAGTAAGGGTAATCGGCCATGACATTGTTTATTTTTTGTTACAGTTGTGAACGACCCGGAAGCTCTCACCACCATAGCAAACACATGTTTGGACAAACCATTCTTTTACGAGTATATCGCCACTATGATAGGAAACGGATTGATAACTTCAGATGGTATACAAATTTTTATATTTACATCGTATTTATGATTAATCAGGTTCTAATTTAATGTATCTACTTCAGGGCTTATTTGGAAGAAACACCATAAGCTATTGTATCCAGCGTTCAGTCAGCAAGTATTGAACACATATCTAAATGAAATGAATACACAAGCTCAACGACTTGTCTCACAATTAGCAAAAGTGGCTGCAAAGGGACCAGTTGATGTCACAGACTATTTGACCGAATATATACTAAGATTAGTTTGTCGTAAGTGAATGACACAAAAAATATTGAAAAAGAGAAATATTCTTAGAAATGAAATAAAATCAGGATTTACTTTTTTTTGCTTGCCATAACATGTGACGATTTAAGTTGATAAACAATTGCAATAAGGGATTTTCGACTGTCTACCAACGATATTAAATGGTTCTTTGTGACTCTTTGAAACCATTTGTAACACCAAACAATATGTATTTGTAGGAACGTCCTTAGGGCTGGAAGCAATAGACCAAGATATGATTGACAATAAGTATGCAAAAATGGTTGAAGAAATGGCAAATATTGTTGTTCGTCGCACTTTGAGCTTAGGTTTACATCCTTCCTTTGTTTTCAACTTGACCTCAATGAGAAGGAGACAAGAAGAACTACGTTTATACAACAAGCAAGTTATTGATCCTGTAAGTGTAGACAATAATTATTATCCTTTTTATTTCTTAGTCTGGGTTTGATGTATATGTATATTTGCAAACGCTGTTAAACGAACAGATGGGTCTGAGTCAAGCAATCGGCGACCTCCAAGGACACAAAAAGAGTTGCCAGTGACTTATTGGCCTATGTGGATATCGGCGACTCCCAAGGACACCAAAAGAGTTGCCAGTGAGTTATCGCCCTATATGGATTGTAAAGGATTTGGGAATTACGAGAAGAGGGAAGGATTAGGCCGGACCACTTATGCCGAAGAAGCGTGCCTGTCTCACACTTACGTCTTAGAAGTTGGTGATTAATTTGATGGAATACTGGACAGTTTATACTAGGAGATGGTTCATTATTTAGATCCGAGAGGCTTTTTTCGTTTCTGCCTCTTCGGCTAAAACAGTTTTGAAAGACTTGTACTGAACAAATATTTTTTTCCAGATAATTCAAAAACGAAAATCTGACTTAACATCAACCAAATATACAATTAGTGACGATGTGTCAGTTTCAGGTAAAACGATGTTAATTAAGGATTACCAATTTTTTAATTATAACTTTTATAATTACTGTGTTATCACTTAGTAGTCTTGAGGTAGATAATCCCTTAGACTTGTCTTACGGGTGTTTGTAGGCTGCCAGTCTGCGGGCAGTGTCAGATAAGATTTGAAAAGCTTTTCAACTTCACCGTCATCAAGCCCCGAATCATCCGCCGTTGGTTTTAATATTCCTCTATTAACTTCACTGTTTACATGCATTCAAATATTTTTGAGAAATAAAATGTAAATTGTATCATTCAGGTAAATTCAAGCCTGCGCTAGACCTGATGCTGCATTTATCTAATGAACAATACCTTCTCTCTGATGAAGAAATCAGGGCGCATCTAAATACTTTTGTGGCAGCTTCTTACGACACAACTTCAGTAGCGATGCAAACTGTACTGTTGGTGCTAGGCTCATACCCTGATACACAGGATCGAGTTTATAATGAGTAAGTTTTGAAAATCTTCTTTAAGAAAACTTTTTAATCTCACATTATAATTAAGAAAAGTCAAATATTATAGTCAAAGTCAAAGCAAAAAGTCAAAGACAAAAGTCAATTAATCATTTATTTTGTAAGTAAAGTCTAGGTTAAAAAAAAACATTTCAATTATAATTACCGTCGCTTGTGAACGTCTAACTAATCCATACATCTAAAAATGAAGACTATTAATTAATAAAATGAGTTTTCCTGTTGTTGTAAAGATTTCTCATAATTGTGACGTTTTCTGAATTCAGGTGACATGGTTTTTCATACAGTCAGGTATTTTTTTGCAGGGTTCAAGATGTGTTTGGAAATAATGAAAACTTGACAAAACACGATATGACAAAACTTGTATACTTGGAAGCAGTAATAAAGGAGGTATTGAGGGTGTATAATGTACTTCCTATGATTGCGAGAAATATTGATACTGATATTGTGCTACGTAAGTATTTTTCTTTAATCTTTAGTCCTTATGCCTTGCCACCAGACAGAACCTAGACTCGAGTGGAGCTTGTGTTACGAGCGCGCCTCAAAGAGCTAATAATACCACACGGGACCCTATAGAGCTGATGTTTAGCTGAAGTTGTGGGAAAAAAGAGCAAAAAGGCATCGCAGCCTCGACCTAAAGCAGAAGAAGGAACGGGGTATTTTATTCAGTAAGAGTCTAACACTCTCTCCCGTCCCTCAGGTGGGAGAAGTCATTTAATGATTTTTACCTCAGAAAAAAGGGGATTTATGCTTCCACTTGAAATGTTCCCCATCCCTTCCCAATCCCTAATACCAGCAAAACGTTCATAACATCATCGGTATTAGGTAATATATATGTACATATATTCCATTGCTGCCATATTACATGAGAAAAAACTATACACTCTTAGTTTTAAAATACATAATTGGGCAAACATGAAGTTTGTTGAAATTTTGAAGATGTCTAACACTTGCTGGTACAATTTGTTCGATACTGAAAAGAGCACTTATAAGCCAACCAAATACTCTTCGATTTAGACAAATTCAAGCAGACTATCTAAGTCGTACAGTGAAATGCTATAAAACTGAGAACAATTTAATATTTAATTTGCTTGTGGAATGTTTAGGGTACGATATCATAATCATGTAACTCCAATAAAAACTATATTATTATTTACTTAAGATAAATAATGGATTGGCGTAGTGAAAAATAAATAATATCGACTTCTCAATGTCAATTTAAAATTATGGAACTGAGTTGCGAGACTATGGATTTTTATAATATTAAGGTATTCATAAGATATTGTCAGCCGATAAGCGCCAATTGCTGAACGAAGATCTTTTCGCACTTGGAAAAGGTTTAAACATTAGATTTCAAACTAATAACAAGGAATTTATTTATTACATATTATACATACCTATGTCAAGATTTCCTCAAGATCGTTTGACGTTTTTTAGTTTCAAATAGTCTTGAAGTCTTGCCAAGTTGTGAATACCCAGTTTTTGGGAGAGCGGGGGTTTTTTTATCAAAAAACTGTTTAAGATACCTATACAATTAATAAATAAACATCTCACAAGTTACATTTTGTAAAAGGCTTTCGTTGTATGATTTCAGCGAAGTATACATTACGAGCGGGAAGTATATGTATCCTGTCACTTTACGGCCTTCACCGTCACTCCTCATGGGGACCAGATGCAAAGGAGTTCAACCCGGAGCGATGGCTGAATCCCGCCACTTTACCTTCTACTTCCAACGTATTCGCCCCATTCGGTATTGGCAAGCGAATTTGCATCGGTATGTCAACCTGAATAGCTTTCTCATACATCACACAAAATTAATCACAAAAGGCTAGTGTTATCATATTGATTGAATTTAATATTATTACAGGGAAACAGTACGCCATGATGTCCTTGAAGACGTCACTTGCACATATTGTACGAAAGTTCCAAATTTCTGGTGATATCAGTACTTTGCAGTATAATTTTGAAATCGTATTGAAAGCAAAAAAACCTCTTATTAATTTAACATTAAGGTCTTAAATTGCGAATTAAAGACAATAAAAATCTTAATTGATTGTATTTGTTTTATTGACATATCGAAGCTCTGTTTCAACACATCCTAAATACATACCTAGTTAGGTTAATAAAAAATCAGCATAAGTTGGGAGTACTACGCATCAACTACTGATATTCACACCCCTGATTGGCAACCCATTTTCATAAGTATTTTTTTTTTGTTTTATTGGGGAAATCGTCAGTTGACGTGTCAGACTCTTAAAAAAAACTACGCTGTTCCTTCTCCTGCTCCAGTCCGATGCCGCGACATGATACCTCGCAACCCCAGCTAAACGTCCAGCCCTGTTCGAATCTCTTTGAGGAATGCCTTGAGAGTCGCGACTGAATTTAAAAAGAGTAACTATGGAGTTTCTTGCTCGTTCTTCTCCATCGGAATCTACACTTTGGAATGAGCAAATAGCTTCACTAAGAGGACTGACCGACAGACTAACACTATATCTTCAAAATTTTGTTTGACGTTCAAAAGTGCCTGTAAGGGTCTAATTGGAATAAATGATTTATAACTTTTTGACTTTAACGCCATGGCGCCCTCCCGCCTGACGCAGGTACTTACCGGGCACGGCAGCTTCGGTAGGTTCCTCTTTTGTATCCGGCTGGAGGTAACGCCCGAGTGTCGTCATTAACGACCACACAGACGACACGCTTGAACAGGTTTCGGTGTGCCCTGCATTGGCGAATTCTACATGACGAAAAACAACGTAACTTTTGCTTCACGCTGGGCTGTAAAAGCATGGATCACTCCGATTGAGACGGCCCATTCGTGCTGAAGTATAGCTTACCGACTTGTCTTCCAAAATCCCAATATTTATTCTGTTAGATCATAGGCCATAACATACAAACATAAGACGTTTTACTTACACCAAAAGAGTCATAAACAGACATAAAAGAGTCATAAACTTAACAAAACAAAAGCTGGCCGGCAGGTTGTCTATTAAATCTGATAAAGCTTGACTAAGCAGAGAAGTATCAGGAGGATCTTGTGTTAATAGCGAGCTTATTACCAATATTAGACTTTTAATCGGATTCCACGTTACTTAATATGAAAACATCTCCCAGGACATAAGGCCATTTTGGGTAACATTAATATTGTTTGAGGTATGTTTTTTTATGGTATAAGTCGGCAAACGAGCAGACGGATTACCTGATGGTAAGCAATCGGCGCCGCCCATGGACACCCGCAACACCAAAGGAGTTACGAGTGCGTTGCCGGCCTTTTGGGGATAGGGGTTCCGGATATAAGGATCGGGAAGGGATAGGGGAAGGGGCGGGATTGGGCCTCCGGTAACCTCACTCACAAGGCGAAACACAACGTTGTGGTTGTTTCACGGCGGTATTCTGCGAGGCCGTGGTATCACTCCGGTCTGTCTGATAATAAATAGGTATTTTAGACAACAAATATTTAAAAGGGCCATGCTTCGGCACGAATGGGTCGGCTAGACCTCGGAGTGATACTACAGCCTAACCGTGTGTAACAACCACAGCGTTATGTTCGCCGCTTGAGTAAGGTTACCGGAGGCTAAATTCTTTCCGCCTCTAATCCCAAAATCTCCAAACCCCTAATCCCCAAAAGGTCGGCAACGCTCTCCTAATTCCACCATTGTTGTGGGTGTCCAAGGGTGGCGCTGATTATGATCTTATTAATTGCCATTTGTTTCATCAGCTCTATCAATTGACTTAAAGTTTCTTGCTGATCAACACTTAGATTTTCCTTTGAAACTTTATTTGGTTCCTGTAAGGATAAAGCATTAACCATTTCGCAGTAATCCGCATTCTCACATTTAAAAACAAAAAAGGCACCAAACTTTGCAAAGAAATCTTTTCCTAATAATACTTTTTGTCATAAGTTTGGCATTACCATCATCTTCACTACGTTAAAGTGACCATTAAATTTCACGGGAACATCAATAATTTCTGTAATATTATGACGACTACCATCTGCAGTTGCTACATGTATATGTTTTGATCGATAGGTTTTCAAACCTACCCTTCTTAAGGTGTGAGCAAAATCGCTGTTGATGACAGTCCGATTAGCCCCAGAATCCAAAGTGTTCATAAGCTGATTGCTTTGTGCTCGTTTGCCGATCTAAACCATAAAAAAACGATGCATTCTAAATATTGAATTCTTTAAAATTCTAACTAAACAGGTTTTATAAAAATAAAATAGTGTCTCAAGTCTCTCTCTAGTGTCACAAGTTTTATTTAAAAAAAAATAGACTAGCAACTTTTTTGCAGCATTGGTAAATACCTACTAAAATTAGAATCTACGTTATTTTTATACTCAGCATTTCCTGCTTTTTGCATCTGTGAGCCACTAACAACCTCTAATGGCAATTTTTAGACGATGTAAACGAAAATGAATGTGATGATAATGATGTCGTCGATTCTTTACAGTTATGGAAATGTTTGTTGAAAAAAAACAACATAGTTATGACAAATTTAGTAAATGATTTAAAATATGCACAATATCACTCTTAAAACATGTCCATGTCTTCTGCCCATGGAAATAATTTAAATTACAATCGAATTAAATTATCTTGTCAAATGATTTGTTTATCTTCATATGAAAGAAGTTATTTGTAAAATAATTTTCTTCGCCTGGTAAGGAAATAGAGTTTTTGACTTCAAAGCTAATTTTGCAGCAGCCAGAGCACTCTTACTATTAGTCAATCCTAAGATCGAGCAATTTGGGTTATCTTACTGTTATACGAAAATATTTTCAAAACTTTGATAATATTTTGTATATATTGATGCATATTTATTTGCTCATGTATAAAATAAAATTGTTGTCAGATACGCGTGTGGGAATGTTTTTTTTTTGTTATAGGTAGTTCATTAAATCTCCCACCCAGGTAGATAGGCGATAGGGAATATCAGAGTGATACTAACTAAAATCTAATCTAAAACATTAATGAAACAATGAAACAAATTAATGTAATTAATGTACATTATTTCTCAAGGACATTTTAACATACGAAACCGGTAGGTTTTCTTATTATTCTTCATTTCACAGGATGAAAAGTATCAATATTTTACACAGACATAACTTACCTTCTATCGTCTAGGTATGTATTGGTGTGGTACATCATTAAAATTTGATTGATATTATCTTTCTTTTTTTAGCAGACCCTGGGGCAATTACAATACCAGTGCAAGGCCTTATCTCGCATAAGCCAATTGGGACACACTCACACTATTATGACAACTCCTGTCTCTTGTTTCTTTGCATCTAAATTTATTGTTTCTCTTTCTTTATTTCGCCTCCTTTTTCCCCTTTTTAAGTAGCCCCAGCTAAATTATAGCACAGAGGTCACTAATAATTGTCAAGTATTTTAATCACTAATGTGATAGCTTTTTAATATAAAGTTGTAAAAAAATTAAACTCAGATTTTATTTTTTATTCAAATGTTTAACCTTGAAAAATTACCATGACAGATTTTTCAGGAAGTAACCAACTTCCTTCCTTCCTTCAACGTTTAATATCCAACCGTACAAACCCGTAGGACTTTAAGAAGCAGAAAACTCTTCAACCAGATGAGAATTAGCCCATCTAAAGTCCAAATTTATATCTGTATAGCATTGTATCTTAGTAGTTAGTTAGTACTTAGTTTGCCATTTATAGTAAAACTTGCCTTAAATAGCGTTGATTCAAAGTAACTGATAAGAGCAAGTAATTTTATATAATTACCGAAGTAGTAGCATGACCGAAGCCTAGGACATACCTAGTATAAAATAAAATTTATACAAATTATATGTTCCGAGACTTATTAATACTATATCTAAAACTTCCTATTTTTATTTTCGTGTCATATGTATGTAACAACGCTCGTTAGGGATATACACATCACACATCCTCAGCCTATCAGTGTCCACATCTAGGCAAAGGTCTCTTTTCTCACGGAAAAAGTTTAAGCATAAATCACCACGCTATAAGTCCAGGTTTCCTCACGATGGCTCCTTGCGATGCGATTCCTTCGGTGTCAAAATAATCATAGAAAAAAATCACATTGGTACTTGCCCGGTTACGAGCCAGCACCCTCATGCATGAAAAGCGGGCGCCTTAACCGTCAGGCCACCATAACATGAGAAATGTTAAATTAATTATGGTATCTACTTACTCACTTAAGTCACAAGGATACGTCGAGATCAACATAAATGGTATGCTAAATTAATTAATTGTAAACAATAGTATACTGTAAACAATAAAGCAACCTTTTTTTTTTTTTAGAGTGTCAGACTCTTACTGACTAAAAACCCCCCTGTTCCTTCTCCTGCTCTGTGCCTAGGTCGCGGTACCTTATTGCGCTTACCCCGCAACCCCGGCTGCACATCAGCCCTTTAGGGCCCCGTCTGTGGTGGTCTATTGGCTCTTTGAGGCGCGCGCGGAACGCTACGCGCCGTACGCTCGGGCCTGGTTCTGGTCGGGCGGCGAGCTGCCCTTACTCGCCGACCGCAGGCCCGTACTTACGGTGGCCGGAGATCGTCCCTCGATCCCCGACGCCCGTAGTGTCGCCAGTTGCGGCTGCTGGGGCGTGAGGAGGAGGATTGCTCCCTCACGCGGGCCGCCTCTCTCTTTGCGAGCATGACTGCTTCACAAAAGGAGGAGACGGCGTCCCAGTTCCTCTCACTCCGCACCATGGCCTCGACTAAGGCCGGGCGCGAGAGGTCGCCGCCGCCGATCACTTCCCTGAGGATACGGCGGTGCTCAGCCCAGGCAGGGCATACCGCTACCGTATGCTCCACCGTATCCTCTAGGTGGTCCTCACAATGACGACACTCGGGCGTTTCCTCCCGCTGAATCCGAAACAGGAACCTACCGAAGCTGCCGTGCCCGGTAAGCACCTGCGTCAGGCGGAAGGTGAGGACGCCGTGGCGTCTCTCAAGCCACTCCTCAAAGAGGGGTCTTACCGCTGCTATGGTAGCGTGCCCGGCCCTCGGTTGCGACAGTCGTTGTTTCCACTCTGCCATGAGATCTCGCCGGAGCTCATTCCGCCACGCACTAATTTGGCGCGGCAGAGGATCTTCGCCCCGGCGACGCGCGTCTGCGCGCAAACTGTAGACGCGCGCGAGCGCCTTCGCTTCTAGATCCCACGGCGGTGATCCGGCAAGGAGGTTCGCCGCCTCCCCGGAGATCGTGCGATACCCGCGGATTACTCGAATAGCCATGACCCTCTGGGACGCGACCAGCGTACGAGCCGGCCGCCGCTTCAAGGCCGGCGCCCACACAGGGGCACCGTAGAGGGCCATGGATCGCACAATCCCCATATACAACCTCCGGCAGGAGGCGTTTGGCCCCCCGAGGTTGGGAAGGAGCCGCTTGAGCGCGGCCCCAGACCGTTCTAGCTTAGGGGCCAAACGACGAAAATGCTCCGTGAAGTTCCATCGGCTGTCGAGGACGAGACCCAGGTACTTCATCGCCGACTCGACGCCGATGGTAACTCCTCCTGCCGTTATTTGGGACCCACCTGGAGGTGGCGCGCTCCGACGGCCATAGAAGCACATGGCCTCGGACTTGTGGAGCGCCACCTCGAGTCCCAACTGCCGGATCCTTGCAACGACTGTCGCAACCGCTTGTGACATCAGGTCGGCCGCCGCCTGATGCGACCTCCCGTTCGCCAGCACCAGCGTGTCGTCAGCATAACAGACAAAATAAAGCAACCTTGGGAGACTGACAGACTCTTTAGCAATTTAAAGAGGACGTGATGGTGTCACAAGTAAAACTTAAAAAAATACTTATGGGATAAACAAGCGGACGGGTGGCCTGGTGGCCAGCGAACTTCGAGAGGGCCGTTCCACTAATCGTCAAGCCAGCTCATTTTTGGCGTAGCAAGGTTCTCCTAAACTTATCCATTAGTTGGATGATAACCAAAGAGTGGCAAAAGAAAACAACAACACACTTTTATTTATTTTTTTACTCTAAAACTAAGACCTTAAATCAAAGCCAATAAGAGCCGGTTCTGCTGGTTTCAATACGAGTTCAAATTTCCATTTGATATTTTTGATGTCACCCGAAATGTGGAACTTACTCACGACGTGTGCAAGAGAAATCTTTAGGCTCATCATAGCGTATTGTTTCCCTGGAAAAAGATTAAAATATATATATATATATTACATTATATGATTTTATGATGGTACAGGACTATCTATGGGGACCCAGTTGCTAATGACGCCTTGTGTGGTGTGTGGGTGATTTTATGACGTTATAGTTATCTGGTATTTAAATCCACTTAATTTAAAATGACCGTACCAATACAGTTCCGCTTGCCAATACTAAACGCAGCATAAACGTTGGGATTTGTAGGTAAAGTCGCGGGGTTCAGCCATCGCTCCGGCTTAAACTGGTTCACGTCTGGCCCCCATGAAGAGTGACGATGGAGGCCATACAAAGACAGTATACATGTACTTCCCGCTTTCAAAGTACATTTTGCTGAAATCAAACATCGTCCTGTTAATTTTAAAGTAAAAATTCGCCGGAATGTTTAAACAAGTCATGATTCAGTTTTATTCAATAAATCTTTACACTCTTTAAAATAACTGTAAACCAAAAGCGTTTGTAGTCAATAATTCAATTTCGCACACTTGGGTCGTGCAACTACTCGTGTACTAGTATCAGCTTGCTAGTAATAAAATTGTCCTAACATGGTATTATTGTAATGGGATATTAAGAATTGATGATATAAAACAAGTTCAAAAACGTCACTCTTTTGATTCTCTTGATTAAATAAACCATTTTATATAGCATTGGTTTCTTTTTAAGTGTACACACTTAATACACACTTGTACGCCTTTATAAGATAATAAAAAAAATATCGTATATTGAAATATAAAAGATTATATTACGTACGGAGGACAATATCAGTGTCAAGTTTTCTTGCAACTACAGGAACTACATCATATACTCTCAATACTTCCTTTATCACTGCTTCCATGTAAACAAGTTTTGACAAATCATGGATATTTAAATCTTCATTGTTTTGAAATACTTCTTGAACTCTGTAATGATGCGGAACATAATTTACATTTTTCTGTACACGAATTTTCTTATTAACATCTTCATTTGTATTATCGGTCATACTTAGTTGTTGTTCTAGACTATAATCTAACTCTGTGTTAAATTTTATACCAAAAAGGTCGATTATTTTTAAGAAAAAGAGAATAAAGTTAAGCCCTAAATTTATAAGGATTATACGAAGATGAATTTTAACAAAATGAAGTGTCCATTTAAAAATAGTCAAGTAGAACTTACTCTTTATAAACTTTTTCCTGTACCTCTGGGTATGATCCTAGCACCAACAAAATATTCTGTAGTACTGTTGAAGTTGTGTCGTAAGAGGCTATTACAATAGTATCAAGATGTTCTCTGATCTCATCGTCAGTTAAGACTTGTTCTTTATCAGCTAAATGTAATAGAAGATCTAAAATGGGTTTAAATCTACCTAAAAGAAATATTTCATATTAAATTCATAGATTTATTCTTATTATTTCTTAGAGGAATGCTAAATTGCCTTGGACGTCGTATTTAATTTTTGCCTCTGGAGGTCAAAACTTCACAATGTATTACAAAATAGTAGTGTCCTGGCAAATAAGAAAGAGCCAAAAATACGTGTTGCAATTTTCTGTTAAACATTTACCCGTTATTGAATCAATTCCATTGTTCGTAATACAGTTATTTGACTTTAAATCTGATTTTCGTTTTTGAATAACCTGAAACAAAATTGGTGACAGAATATGACGGTAGGTAAAGTTGCAAATATTTTTTATGAATTGTATTTTTATATAATAATATTTTTTACTGTTTAAGATCTTTGCATAAGTAAGTACTTTGAATTTTCATGTACTTTTAGATAAAAATATACTTAAAAAAAAGTTTTTCCTCACCTCTGCATCACCCAAAGGTCAGACTGGTAGATAATGCCCATGGCATTAAGTCCGCCTATGTATAGAAGTATGTGTGCATAAAGCTTAATAAATAAATAAATAAATATGATAGGATGAAAATTAAGATACGTACAGTATTTATCATGTTGTTGAGTTCTTTTATTAATTTGTCTTCTTTTCCTTTCAATGCAGTTCTTTTGTATATAAATGACGGATATAACCAAGGATTAAAAGCACGATAGCAAAATATTTTAAATATTTCCTGGATTGCTTTAGTGTAATTGGTGTCAATAATGTTCTGATCTTTAGATTCCAATCCTAATGATGTCCCTATGAAACAGAAAGACAAAAGTAAAAAAACGCACACAGGCATTATGTCGCAAATCATCGTAAGAATCGTCTAGGTGTGTATTTTTTATTTTATGGCTCTTATGGCGCTTAAATTTTGAAAATTTAGCTTAAACATTTTACTTTCTATCGTGGTTATTCGAGAAGCAATACAAGAACAACGTCAACGCTGGCGTTCCCTTGGGGTTTGATAAATTAAACCGTTTATTATTTGCAACAAAAATACATTCAATGATTACTTAAACTATTCTTTACCACAGGCAGCGTGGGTACCAAAAATAGTTGCTAAACATTAAAATCCATAACCATCAAGTAGCTTTGACTACACCACGAGCTTTGGATCGGCAAATGTCCTCCTACATACCGACTCAACTGTTTAATTTACTTATAAGCAAGCAAGATATACTTACGACAAACTATCCTTAAAACGTATTGGATCAAATATTGATAAGTATCGACCTGCCCGTTTTCAGCCATAGCAGTCAAATGTGAGACAAGATTTTTAGCTTGTACGTTCATTTCAATAAGATACGTGTTTAGTATTTGCTGATTAAATGCTGGGTTTATCAGCTTTCGATGAGGCTTCCATATTATTGCTGAAATGCCATAAAGTGAAGGTCAAAGTCGAAATTATATTCAATCAAATAAGTACAGGTAAATTTGAAACAAAATAGAATAATATCTGTCAGCCTGTTCATCGGTAAGGTTTTTTTTTATCAGCGAAAGGAAGGAAAATCATGAAATGACTTCTGCCGCCCAGGGTAAGGCGAGAGAAAGTAAGTATCAGACTCTTTACTGACTAAAAACCCCCACGATCCTACTCCTGCTCTACTCTTACCCCGTAACACTGGCTGAACATCAGATCTCGATGGCATGGCGGCAATGAAACAACAAGTATGAAAATACTTGGACAGCCGTGCGAAGCAGGGGTGGATACTTTATTTTTTGCTTAAGAATCTTTAGTCAGGGTTGCGGGTTAAGTAAAAGTTAAATGTAATAAAATAATAGCGCGGTTTTTAGTCTGTAGGAATCTAATACTCCTTGCCCCACTCAGGGTGAGTGAAGCCACATTATGAGTGGCCCGCCTAAAAAAACAGGCTCTTTGTGTATTTTGTCGGTTACACACAGTTATGGAATTCCTAGTCCGATATTAATTAAATCCCATGGTTTTCTAGATCATACAACAGTAGTTGGTATAATTGTCAAGAAGTAACAAGTAGGCAATAAAAATACTGAACGCTTTATGTAGGTTAATAATGTAAGAAACTAAGCTACTGGCGCGTCACTTAACAATGACGTGTCTTTCTACTTACCATCAGCTGTTAATAATCCTTTTTCAACAAAATCTTTTCCGATTTTATAAAAAAATGCTTTGTCTAAACACGCGCTTGCTACGATACCGACGTCGGTTGGATCAGTTATGGCTGCAATAAAGTCAAAAGCTTCACATTACACATCACCAGCCTTTAAGTGCCAACTGCTGAGTTAGAGCCTCTTCTCATAAGAAGAAGATAAACATTAAACACCACTTTTGCTCAAGGTTGATTGGGAAAACGGTCAAACGCACCATTATAAATTATAAGTCCAGGTTTCATCACGATGCTTTCCTTCACCGTGTGTTAGTGTTGTCTAAATAATCACAAACAGTGCATATAACTTAAAGACAATTTGAATACCTCTTATAAAGGAAAAAAATTATAATTTATGAATTAATAAGAAGGAAGCCCAATTCTTCTTACCCTCCAAAGCCAAAAGGCCACTCGTAACTTCTCTGGTGTTGTGGGGTGTCCATGGGCGGGGCCGATTGCTTACCACAATACTGTACGGTAATACGTCTAGTGGTTAAAAAAAAACTAAATTACCATAAATAGTATGAAAACCCACGCTTAGCCGAGTAAGTCCACCATTTTCCATTGCGTGATCGCAAACGCGTTTTATGTAGGTCCATATGTCTGGAAATAATGAAATTTATGTCAATTAAAATTTTAGTTTACTTTTATTTACTTTTCATAAAATTTGATATCTAAGACCGACTTTACTTTTATTTCAACTTTTAATACAATTTTGGTATCCAACTCGCGATGTTCGGCCCATCTAAATCAGCAAAGAAAATAATATTTTAAACGCGGCGCTCGCTCTCAGTGTAAGAATAATAGTTTTTTCATAATATAATTACTTTATTGGCGTCAAAAATATTAATCTTCTAAAAATGTGGTAGATACTTAAATTCTACGAAATTGTCACTAATACTTTTTTTGTAAAAAAGGTGGCAAAATTAAAAATATAAATCTTGTAAATTTAAATGCGAAAATTGTTAAAAATAAAACTGAGATTTTTCACCATTCTCCCTAAATGAAACTCGATAAAATGGAAAAACGAAAAAAAAAACAAATCAGATCTACATACAATTGCCAATTTTTACTGCACGTCACAATTTTTGTTTCGGGTATGGGTATGATGTTGATGTAAAATTGTATGTTTGTAAACGCACGCACGACACAAGAGAAAAATGGAGAGCGGGGCATAATATTGTTTAAAAAAACGATGCCATGCTATGCGATAATAACGCTGTAAATAAATAAAATAAATTTATTTGCAGAGACACGGTATTACAAGTTGTTGTAGGAAACGGTTCACTTTCAACTAATCTGTTATCCGCACTTTTCTGGGCTTGTGCAGATAAAAAAAAAATTAAGGATAAACAAAAAGCTTATCATTACATAAATTACCATTTCGGTGTTCTATCATTTGAACTGCATGTCCAATTATCGGCAATTCTCCAGGAAATGTCGGAGGTGAATTAGGATGAGATTTGTACCAGCACAATATTAAAAACAAAACTATAACAATGAAAATCACAGCCAACATTTTTATTTTGACCCAGACTTTGTAGTATTTAATGAAAGAACTGACTGGCGTGTAAATATTAGGTTTTATTTATACCTGCTTTTGCATCAAGGATGAATAGTATTACCGGTTTTCTAAAAATAGTTTTTAAGGCTGCATTGAGCGATACATATAATTAATAATGATACAAATCTGTTGGCTTACAGATTAAAAAACGGTTTTCTATTTAATGCATTTTTTTATTGTTGACCGGAATTTGTAATTTATACTCCAAATCAGACAAAAATGAAGGTAAATGAACAAGTTTTTTTTTCAAAAAAACATAAAATTCAATTTCCGCTGCTATTTAAACTTTAGATCACATAAAAACTTTATTCATTTACATGTAGGATTGCAAGAAACACAACACCACCTGCTTAAGGACCATTGTGCCAATTCACGATAGAGGGGCTCCGACAACTGACTTTAATAGGTATAACCAAATGATTATGATTAGGGTGTTGACAAATTTTGCAGATTAGTGACAGATAGCACCGTCATTAGTACGAAGAGCAAAGGCTTGCTAAAAACATACCCACCTATCCAGCGTGGTAAAAAATGCTTCCATTTCGTTCGGTTATGGTACCAGTGAGGTAGGAACTACTAAGAATCTCCAGGCCACGAAAAAGTGACATCACAAACTGAATTTGAATGACCAATCAATTCCCAATTTCAAAATTGTTATATTGTAAAATACCAAACGCTTAAAATTCTTGCAATGATCTTGTCAGTCTGTTGGTGATGTGGGTGTCCATTGGCGACGTCGCGTCATTTGCTTAGGTACAGTCATCGTCAAATGTATAGGGCTAAAATTTTTATTTTGGATGTTTCGATGCCATCGTACTGAAATTTATGGTGACTTTGATGTAACGATACAATTTTTTACCCCGAATGTCCCTTTGTATTTGACGTTGACTGTACCATTCCCTTTATTTTGTCGCACTTTCCTTTTATAAGAGTTTGTATTACAAAAGCTGACAATTTCAAGAATATATCTGTAGTCTTTAGCAATTGGCAGAGGAATTAAAAAAGCAGTGTTTCTTTCTTCAACATTTTATTTGTGTCATATAATTTGTATATAACAAATGTACATCTAACAAAAAACACAATATGAGGAAATACTTTTATGGCGTTCTCATGATTTTATTAAAAATCCTTCACGAAGGAAACTTCTGACATGTGTGGCTGTATAATTTAACATAATAATAACATGGCCGAAAAGAGTTAATAATTCTTCGAGTACAACAAAATATACCTAACCTAACCTAAAATTCCATTGAAATAATTTGTGTGCCAATCACTGCTGCTGTCACAGCTAGCAAAGTATAGATTTTGATGAATTTTCATATTTTTCGTAGAACTTTGCCTTTTAATTGCAATTTTCAACACTATTTACACAAACTTGATTATTCTTTTACAATTTTTTCAACTTTAGTTACAGTAGCGTGATTTATGATATATATTTCCATATCGTCTTACAGACCACCATCCATTTATTAATTAACTATAATAACTATATGCGATACAGCCTTTTTGGTACAACTCTATGATCTTAATTTTAATTCTATATGGTGATTTGTTACTGGTTTCAAAACTACATCAAATTCACATTCTACATTATGGATATCACCAATAATTTGATATTTTCGAATTATGTGTGCTAGTGCCGTCTTCATCATCAGCATCGCGAACAATTTTCCTGAAAATTTATAAATCAATATTTAATTATATTCTTTCTATCCTCCATGACACTTTTTTTCCTTTATGTGCGCTTGAAACCAATAATATAATTTAATCCAAACTTATATTATCAGTGTCACGTTGACGGATCTCGTGATCGGACGTCACAAACATATTTTTAAATTTTCTGTTATTAAATATCTTATGTAGAATTATTGTTCTGATAATAACTATAAAGTAAGTTGTTATTGTTCACACGTGCGGTAGGAGTGGGCCGGTTCTTTCGGCCACTCGGCCCTATAAGTAAACTATGGAAGATAATGATAGTGCATCGTCATGCGGTGGCACGCATAATGGTGATGTAGAACAAATGGATAATGAGAATGAAGATGTAGATAAAGTATGTCGGGATGAATTGGCGAGAGCTGAAAAGAGACAGAGAGAGGAAAGTACTGGAGATGAAGATAGTTGGACTGAAATAAAAGGCAAGAAAAAGACACGTCGTGAATGCGTTAGTAAACTGCACAAGGAGAATTATGAAGTGTATATATCACACAAAGATCCTCTTCCTAAGCAATTTGCTTTGGCACGAATTTTAAAAGAAAATAATATCGGCAATATCAGTCAGGTCAAATATTTAAGCCCCTATAAAATTAGATTGCAATTTGAATGTGAGTTGGCTATGAATAATGTATGTAATTGCGAAAAGCTTAGAGAAAAAGGTTGGAGAATTCAGAAGTCTATGCAACTTTCATTAAGCTATGGACTGATTAAAAATGTTGACCTTGACTTGTCAGATGAAGAAATACAGCAAAACATTTCATGCCCTGCTCCTGCAAAATTATTATCGGTGAGAAGATTAAACCGTCGTAATACAGTGGATGGCGGGTGGTGCCCCAGTGAAACACTTCGGCTTTGTTTTGAAGGTGACTTTTTACCGGCATTCGTTAGTGTATGTGACATTCATATAAAAGTGTTACCATATGTTCACCAAGTTTCGCAATGTTCTTTGTGTTGGAAGTTAGGTCATAGTCGAAAAATGTGTCAAACAAAGAAAGTTGTGTGTCCGAAATGTGGTGGTCCTCATGAAAATTGTGATTCTCTTATATTTGCTTGCGTGAATTGCAAGGGCAACCATATTTCGTTGAGCAAGGCATGTCCAGCCTATAAGAAAGAACGAAGGATTAGGGAGATTATGTCTGAGTTTGGTTGTACTTACAGGAAAGCCTTGGAATGTTACATCTCTCCTAAAAGCCAAGCTACACTTGATACTGTCGCTCCAGGACAGCCACAGTTAGACATGAGCTCTCAGAACCTTTTCCCTTCCCTTGGTCGGAAGTCATTACAGATTAACCCAGAACCCACGGCTTGTTCTACGTATGCCGAAGTGGTTCAATCTAAAGTTAACGGTCACCCTTCATTACAGTTGTTTAGTTCACCCGGTAAATCCAAAAATAAATTAAATCCTGATAAAGAACAAGCCTCGAAAGAGAGAAAGCGTGATGTTAATGAAGATTGGATGTTTTGGAATTCTGAGCCAGACTACACTAGTCCACTTCCAGGTAATAATGAAGAGGATGATAAAAACAATCAGAGGCCTTCCTTTAATGAATTACTCTCTAGAATTAAAGAAATTATTTTCCTTAGGCAATCCAACCTTTCTACTAAAGTGAAATCTACAATACAACTGTGCTTAGAATGGTTAGTATTGGTAATTGTTAACTTCATATCTAAGTGGCCGATGATCAAAGTATTGTGGAACTTAGTGAATATCCAGCGTGATGGCTAATAGGGTTTCATTTAATGTAATTCAGTGGAACGCCCAAAGCATAAGACCTAAGTTATTGTCGTTTAGTGAAATTTTAAATCAAGAAAAAGTTCATATTGCTGCGCTAAGTGAAACATGGCTCGAACCGGTTTGTAATTTTAATATCAGCGGTTATAATGTTTATCGTTCGGATCGACATGATTCGTACGGTGGAGTAGCTATTTTTTTACATAATAGTATCAAAGCACAACAGAAACCGGTTCGACTCAACAATGCAGGTATTGAGATTATATGTGTTCAATTATTTAATTGCAAGCCCTTCGAATACGTGATTTCTGTTTATTGTCCATCCAGGATTGTTACTAATCGTCAGGATTGGGATAGTGTATTATCTATGTGGTCACATAATACAATTATACTAGGTGATTTTAACGCGCACCATACCACTTGGTCATATAAAAATGATCACAGAGGTAATCTCATTTATGACGCGCTTATGGACAGTAACTTTTTTGTGTTGAACGACGGAACTCACACACGTGTTCGTTTAGTTGATAACATCTTGCAACAAACTTGCAAAAAAGGTTATGACTCCTTTGTTAAGACCATAAATGACGCCGCGGACCTTTTTATCCCATATTTAAAATTGAACCAAAACCCTACTTCTAAATTTATCTCCAAACCTTACTGGTCATCAGAACTTTCTCATGTTGTAGCACAACGTAGGCTGGCGTTGTCTAAGTTCAGGCGTAATCCTACCGTACAGAACCTTGATATTCTTAAAAATCGCATTCATACTGCTCAAAGACTTATAAGAATAGCCAAAAGATCACATTGGCAAGAATTTTGCTCTTCGATCCATCACAATACCTCTCCCAGCGAAATGTGGCATAAATTGAAATGGATCAAAGGTTATCGCTCGCCAAGGCAATATGTAAACGTTACAGGTAAGACTAATTTACTCAACTCTCTAACACCAGATTATGTGTCCCCATTATGTCCCACACTCCATGAAAGTAATTCCATAATAGAATGTGAAATCTCTATCCAAGAGCTAAATACATGTATTAAAAATAAGGATACATCTCCAGGATGTGATGATATCTCATATTCGATGGTTAAACACTTACCTGAATCAGGTAAGCAGGTATTACTTAAATTGTTGAATTTTTTTTTAGTGAACAGTTTTGTTCCTTCACAGTGGCTTGACATTGGTATCATACCTATCCCGAAACCTGGTCGCGACATTAATAGCGCATCAGGTTTGCGTCCTATTTCTCTTTTATCCTGTATATGTAAGACGTTTCATTATATTATATTACGACGCTTGGAATGGTTTGTTGAAAAACTAAATATTTTTTCTACAAACACAGTAGGCTTCCGTAGAGGTAAGTCATGTTTGGATGGTTTAAGTAATTTAATAACCTTCATCCAGTCAGGTTTTTGTGCGGGATATTTAACGATGGGTTGTTTCCTGGATATCGATAATGCTTACAATAATGTAAATCATACAGCCTTAATTGATATTTTAAATAACCTTCGAGTGGGTCCACTTATTTGTAAATATTTATGGAATTTCTTACACCAAAGAGTTCTAAAAATTAAATCCGGGAATATATATATTAATAGATGCGCTGGTATGGGTTTGTCACAGGGAGATCCTTTGTCGCCGCTATTATTTAATATTTTAACACTAAATATCTGTAAACAAATTCAGAATAACGACGTTTGCATAACGCAGTATGCTGATGACTTCGCAATATATTTGCAATGCTCATCGATTAGTGAGGGTCAAAGTAAAATCCAGCTTGCACTTAATTTAATGGATAGGTTGCTGTCACGATCAGGCTTACAAGTTTCTCCTTCAAAAAGTAAAATTTGCCTATTTAGCAGAGGTTTTCGTAGGACCTTCTTTGACGTACATCTTAATGGTACTCAATTACAACTGGTAGATAATGTTAGATACTTGGGTATCTGGCTAGATAGGGGGCTGCGATGGAATAAACACATTAATGAATTGTGTGAAAGAGTTACCAAGTTGATAAATATCTTTAAGATCTTGGTAGGATCGGCATGGGGTATCCACCCCAAGCACCTAAGGCGCTTATATATAGCATTGATTCGTAGCCGTATAGACTTTGGTAGCTTCTTATATGACAATAGCGCCAATACACATTTATTAAAATTGGATAGGTTGCAAAATATTTGTTTACGGTTCATAGGTGGGTACATCAAAAGCACCCCAATTCACGTGATGGAAGCTGAGCTATCTTTATCTCCTCTATTTGTTAGACGTCGTTTTTTAGCCGGGAAATTTTATTTGAAAAGTAAGAGTTTTAAGTCTCCGTTAGTTAATTTGATCGACAATTTACATAGTCATAGTAATAATCGTTTCTGGAGAAATAAAAAAATACCTCTTCTAGTTTCTACACATGATGCCTTAAAGCGAGAACACGTGTATGCAAGTGGTAGTGTAGGTTTATTCTCTATGGATATGTGGGGCAGTAATATGGACTTATCTAACATTAGACCTAATTTAGAACATATAGACAAACCAAAAAATACATATAATAGCTATAACTTAAGATCAATCTGTTGCAAGTCTTTATCTTCATTATATTCAGAATACCATTGTTTATATACAGACGGTTCAATAAGGGATAATTGTTACGGTGCCGCATTTTTTGACTCACAAATAGGCATAAGTTTTAAATTACGCATTTTATCGAAGCTGTCAATTATGCACTTAGAATTAATTGCCATATCGGAAGCTCTGATGTATATTCAATCCCTAGACGGAGACCGTTTTGTTATCTTTTGTGATTCAAAAAGTGCGCTTTTGCACCTAATCCATTCAAATTTATCTGTGCGAGGGCTTCCAATGGCTTACAGTATTTTAAGATCTATTTTTGACCTCAGGGCCAAGGGCAAAAGTATTATGTTACAGTGGATACCTTCCCACATTGGATTAGAAGGAAATGAGGAAGCTGATCGGTTGGCTAGGGAAGCGGGATCTGACGGGGAGATTTATACTTGCCCTCCATGGCATACTGAACTACTGCCTTTGATAAGAGAAAATTGCTATAAAATATGGTCAGAATACTTTGACAAGAGGTCTCTTACTAAAGGCATTTGGTATAAAACAATACAGCCGACGCTTCCTCGAGCTCTCTGGTTCGGTGAGGGCGGGATGAGTAGGCAAGAAATCGTCACGGCTTTAAGGCTCCGATGTGGACATATGCCTCTCAATAGTTTTGCATTCATGATGCATAAAGTCGAATCACCCAATTGTGCTGTGTGTGGTGTTGTAGAGGACGTTCAACACATTTTGTATGAGTGTCGTCGTATTGAGTCTCAGAGATATCAGGATTTTAGTTTTAACAGTTATGATATTGGTTTTTACCATAGTGTGCTAGCGTTACCATTATCATCTGAGGCCAAAAAATTGTATCGTCTAATTATTTTATGTTTAAAGTTAAGAGCTAGCTAAACCTATAAATGGTTTAATAAGTAGATAAGTAAGCACTGAATTTTGTACACAATAATAGGGCTGAAATCTTCTGTATGGAAAAAAGCCCTTTTAATAAAATAAAGATTAAAAAAAAAAAAAAAAAAACTTATATTATAAATGCGAAAGTAACTCTGTCTGTCTGTTTTTTTTACGACTAAACTACTGAACGGATTTCTGTAAAATTTGGTACAGACCTAGTTTGGAACTCGAGAAAGGACTTTTAAAAGGGTTTTTATACCAAAAATCTGCAGAAAATCCATATTCAAATATACAAAACTGTGATTAAAGAGAAAGAATAGAAAATGTAATATACCTATGCAGTTTCGTTTGCCAATACCGAAGGCGGCAAAAAGGACAGGATTAGTCGGTAAGGTGCTGGGGTCCAACCAGCGCTCTGGTTTGAACTCATTTGCATCAGGACCCCAGAGTGGGTGACGGTGAAGAGCGTGCACGCCAATAATACCAGTACTGTCGGCACGAACGGTACAGTTTTCTGAAAGCAAAAAAATGGGTATGTTAATATAAGGGCAGAAAGTACCTAATATAAGCTTTTAGAAGTTTTATTAAAAGGCTCCGGATAAACGAATGAACACACTGTATGTACTACATTTATTTATGGTTTAGTTCGAGTAAGTATTTTTTTGACTTTAAACCGATACCACTGGGGTAAAACACTTTTGCACGAAACTAAGTCACGAGGAATCTCTTGTTTTTTTTAAAAAAAAAAACGTTATTCCAAACAAAAATTTTCTCTTGTTTCGTGGGTGCGTTTACAAACATACCATTTCACATACACATCACATTCAGATCCAGAAACAACAATAAAATTTCTTTTAATTTACTATTTTACAATACAATTACTTACTCAGTTTAACATCCACGTCGATTTGTCTAGCGATAATTGGAACAGCGACGTACAATCTCATAGTTTCTTTCATGACTGCTTCTAAATATACAAGTTTCTGTAGATCGTGTTTTGTAAAATCATCTTCCATGTTCTGTAATACTTCTTGTATCCTGTAAAATATTTTTCTGTCATTAATGTGATGCTTATAGTACTTGATTATTCATGTGTGGATTTTAACTTAGATCGACTTATTTTTTCTATTAGAATATGTTAGTTTCCAACTATGATCTACTCTTTTAGGTATTTTTTTTACACACGATTGTGTCAGTAGTCACTTGGACACAATAATTGGATAATCTCTTGGAAAATCTCTGTTTGCATATTAGACAGCCTCTTTAATATTAAAAGAGATACCAAGACTACCTTACCAATAGACCATAGGTAAATCAACACTGTTATTGATATTCGTCTAAAATGATAAATATTTGTATAAATTGGGAACTAAGACGTCATACGATTTTTTTGCGTCTAATAGCAAAGAAACTGGTTTCTTAAAATACTTTAAAATTATTTTATGTCATTCCACGTGCATCGCACCAAAGAGGGAAGAAAAATTCTTGCAAGGATCAAAAATCGCATATAATGATGTAACTTACTCTTTGTAAATTTTATCCTGCACTTCTGGATAAGATGCAATCACCAATAGTATGAAACTCAATGCTGAAGATGTCGTGTCATATGATGCTGCTACTAAAGTGTCTAAGTGTTCTCTGATATCGTCTACACTGAACACATCTTGCTCATGAGACATTTGAAGCATCTGATCCAGAACTGGTTTAAATTTGCCTGCAAAACATATTATTATGTTGTATTATCAATTGGGTTTTATTCTATTCAATTGAATTTCATTTCATTTACCAAATACTACATACTATAAAATAAAGTAGCTTTCGGCGATCAGTCTCTATGTATCCCTATGTATATATTAAATACGAGAAGGGACACACATACCAATTGACATTGCGGAAATTGTGAGTTCAGCATCTTACGATCCGTTACGAAAAAATAATGTATTCAAATATTCAGTGATTAACTAAACTTTACCATACAGCGACATCTAGTCTTAAAACACAGAAACTGACAGTCGATAAAAAAGTAAAATATTAGTACATGACAGAATGTGATGTAATTTTTGTGCACTTACCGGGCGCATCGTCATAGTAAATAGGTTCTGTTTTAGTATTCATCTCAGATTTTCTTTTTAATATTATCTGAAAAATTTAAAAGAGATTAGATATTTTCTGTTACATTAAAAAATCCAACCTCAGAGCACTTTCTCACTAATTCCGATCCTTTATCACGATCCGATATCGGATATTTCTTGAAAAAATCAGACGACGAATATAATGCGAAAACTACGATACAAATAATTCTACGGGTGCAAGGGACTATATTCCTATGAGGTTGGATCGAATACAGAATAGTCTAATTGATATGAGTACCGCCATCTATTTATTGTTTAGGATAACTACGAAGTATTGGAGTAATAAATATCAAACAGATCGTTTTGCATATTTTTTTTAATTGCCGAAGAAATAAATAAAAAATGCCGATAAATTAATCATTCGCTTAAATACCTACGCAGCTGACTTAACCTTGAATTTAAAAATTAGGTAAAAAAAGTTTAGATGGTATGTGTACCACATCAAGATTTAAATAACCAGTTTACCACGGTCTTGTCTTGTACGATCTTTGCCGTACATTCTTTTTAAAAAGATTGGTTTGTAAAACCTTGTATGTGTGGGATAGCCATGTTCGACACGAATTGGTCGACTCGTCCAGAGCGATACCACGGCCTTACAGAAAATCGGCATGAAACAGCTATAGCTTTGTGAAAATCCAATCTTTCCCCTCCCCCAATCCCTCCTCAATCCCTAAATCTCCAAATCCCTAATCCCTAAAAGGTCGGCAACGCACTCGTAACTCCTCCGTTGTGTCCATGGGTGGCACTGATTGCTTACCATCAGGTAATCCGTCTGCTCGTTTGGCGACCCATTACATAAAAAAAAGAGAATGAGGTTACTGTTGGTCCAATTTCTACCTACCCTAACCCCAATCTCAAAATCAGAACATATAAACCGCAAGAGGAGCAGTACTCCATCAGGTGAATGAATAGTATTTTCGCTTGCCGGACTATCTCGGAAAAAAGGAAAGGTAGTTTGCTCATTTAAAGGCAGACATACTTACAGGATTCATAATATTCTTCAGTGTTGTCGTAAGTTTGTCTTGTTTGCGTTTTAACGCGCTCCAGCTAAATATAAAACCGATATGCAACCATACTTTTTGAAATCTGTCACAGTACAGAGCCAATAAATCTTCGATAGCCACAGCATAATCTTTGTCTATTTGCTTTTGTTCTTGAGCTGTTAAACCGAGTGAAGTTCCTGAAAAATTATTACATTATTGATCTTAGACACCATTTGACTTTAAGTAGTGTTACACTTCATTTTTAAGGTTGGAACATAGTAAACACTTTTAATTTTGAGGGGGAAAATCATCAAATTACTACCACTGCCTCTTGGCTTGTATTTGACGAGCGAGAATGCCAACTTCTACTCCAAGTTCGCACGCCAATAACTGTTATAAACTATCTTTAATTCCGATTTTGTTTAACCAACTGCTTAAAGTTTATCATTTTGATAATATAATTTTTCTAAGTAAGTATCATTGGGGTCTATGTGACTTTCCGAAACGTTCAAAGTCTCCTAGTTTTTTTGAATTCTGGCAGATACAATAATAGCAATTAATGGTTCATTGCTTTAGTTCACCCCTTGTTATTTGAGTGACATATTCAATCAAAAATTCAGCATTTATTCCATCGTTGTTGCTTTCATAAACATACCTTTCTTATACCAATTAGAAGGAACTAATAAATGTCTCAAACACCTGAATTTTTCTGAGTTGAATAGAAATGAATACTTACGGCTAATAGTTGACAACGTGAAGGTAATCAAGTAGTGTCGAACATCAAAAGGTTTCTTTCCAATTTCATTTTGCAAATTCAAGACGAGATTTCGAGACTGCACGTTCATTTCATTAACAAATGTGTTCAGAACTTGCTGGTTGAAAGCTGGGTTCAATAATTTACGATGGTTTTTCCAAACAGAAACTGTAAATAATAAAATAGACGGTTATACTTTTTGCTTTTTGCTCAAGTGATCATTTGTATTATGTTTTAAACATGTTCGTGGTTTAAATGATATTTTAATTATTAGGATTTGATACAACACTTACCATCTGCGGTAATCAGTCCATTATTTAAAAATTCCTTAGCAAAACCATAGATGTAAGGTTTACTATAGCATGCATTGACTAGAGTAAGACAATCTTCTGGATCCGTTACCACTGAAATTCAAAATACACTGTAAGTATTACAAAATAATAGTAAAAACAATTCAAGCACCTGCAGATTCTGCAAGAGGCCTTGACAAATAATTATAAGACAGATCATATTACGTCACACGTCGATTATATTTATGGGTATATAAATTGTATAATTACGAATAGAAATCTATCTCTATTAATTTATAATTTGGATATACATAGGTAATCAATTTTAACCTTTTTTTTTATTTCACCATAAAAGAATATGTGCTACAGGAATCAAACAAAATTTTCCTCCAAACAAATTAACTCGTTTGGTGCTCGTTCCAATATGTTAATTTTGGAACTATACAACAATTGCCTGTATATTGTCATTTATATAAAAAACCTTAACATTGATTTTAAAATGAATCTTGTACCTCAGAAATCACATTAGACCACTCACAAAAAAATAGAGCATCATATATGAGGCCCTAAAAGGCTGATGGGGTTGCTAGTGTGGTCCTACGCCTAAACTTTCAGTGGTTCTAATAGAATGCCATACCATTGGATTACGAGTGAGGAAATAAAGAGTGCGCTTGTGATCTATATAATACATATATGCCTTGTTGGCTAGTTTAGGTAAAATAACCATACAAGTTAGTATTTACTGGATGTTTAAAAGTTGCTTGCAAAGCTGTACTTGCAATTTTAAGCATATAAGTGCGAAAATTGTGTTCGATATACGCATGAACTTGTAAGGTCATACGATATACATACAAATATAACGCAATTAATTAATTAGGAGACGTTATAATTATTGTCAAGCAGGTAAGCCCACCAAATGTTGGCACTCCATCAGGGTATAATAGGCATGCAGCAGTTTTTCTTCAAAAGAAGTTACCAGTGCCCTGACCATGAACATTTTGATAGAAAATAATTAGAAGTTTCATCTTTTAAATTACTGGCAATAAACATGCTTCATTTTTTTCAAAATATCATCTCTAAAAAATCTTGTGTGACGGGTACGAACAAAAATATTCAAATCCTGTTTTTTTTTTTTGCTAAGGTAGAACATTATAATTTTGATAATTTTATAGTAGATCTTTTGACTTTTAGATGTAGATAATAATATTGTTCGATTTATGAATGTATTAAAAAACGCAAAAGAAAATGATTTAAGTGTACTCGGAAGGAAAAGTTGCAAAAACCCTTGAAAAAGCAGCAGAGGGAATGAATAAAAACTTACTACGAAAACCTTTCAAGTATCGCGTTTTACTACACACTTTCGAATGAAGCACTCAGAGCACAGCTCGAAATCAGGCCTTCCTACGATTTCGAATACAGAGGAAGAAGAGGCTTTAGTTAACTGGATAAAAATCAAAAGCCAATAAGTGCCAGTAAATGGGTGTTTTACGGTATCTATTATTGCGAGAAAGTAACGAAAAATCTTACCATAATATCTGTTTGGTCCAAACCACAATTCAATCGCTCCATCGTGCTCGAGTGATGATTCGTTGACATGCCGCACAAAGTTCCAGAGATCTGAAACAATATAGTATTATCAGCATAAGCTTTAATTTGTCCGTAGGTTCTACTATTATTGTAGTCGTGGTGGCCCGGAGGTTAAGGAGTCCGCTTTTCATGCATGAGGGTGTGGGTTCGAAACCTGGCAAGTACCAATGTGAGTTTTTCCGAGTTATATGAACTTTCTATGATTATTTTGACACTACTGACATACGGTGAAGGTAAACATCGTGAGGAAACCTGGACTTATAATTTATAATTATAAGTTTGAAATCTTAAACCCGTATTGAGCAAGCGTGGTGACTAATGCTCTAACCTTCTCCGTATCAGAAAAGGCCTTTGCTCAGCAGTGGGCACTTATAGGCTGATGATGATCATGATGATGACGATTACTATTTTTGAGGGGGAATATTTGCGAGAGGGAGTTTCAGACTCTTGCTGACTAAACCTATACATCCCCATTCCTTGTTCCAGGCCGAGGCTGCGATACCTAAATATTGCGCCTGCTCCGCAACCCCGGCTGACTTACTGCTAAACTACTCATCAATACTAATACCTTTGTGACTTCAAACTAGTTTTTCTCAGTCAACTCACGTTAGTAATAATAATTATTTGCAATAGATTGAGTAAATCAGAAATTTTATGATATTTTTCTCTGTCTAATGAGGGTGGTGGATTTTTATGCAGCAGAAAAAAACTCCAATACCTGACCTCGACTTCATTCAGTGCATTTGCAATCGTACGATAAACGAGATTGTCTTAAACGGTGAAATTGTATGTAATACTAGCTGTTGCCCGCGACTTCGTCCGCGCGGACGCCGTAAAGCACCAAAGATACAATTCAGTCAGTCATTTTAAGTGTAGTTTTTTAGTGAGCAACTTTTAAGATCACATTCCCTTGCAGTTGGCGCTGCAGTATAACTTCACCTCATGAGTACCTCTCAAAGCGCAGGTGAATTTTGAATATGGTTTAATTCCTACATCCCACGAATAACAGAATTTAAAGAAACACAATTATAAAATTTCTCTATAAACTACATTTGTAGTTTTGCTCTCAGTAGCCAAAATGTATAGAGAGTCAGGACTGGTGACGCGGGAGCAAGCGACGTACAGTTGTCCGTGTGAGAAGCAGCTCGTCCTTAGGTCGACACCCGCAGCCTTCAGTGTCTGTCCCTGTGACTTATTGATAGTCATCGCGAAGCAAACACTCACAGGGAACTGCACGCGCTTGAACTGGAAGGGGTAGTTATGAGGAATGAGGGGAATGCGTGGTATAAACACTGCCTCGCCGACGCCACAACCCTTCAAAATTTCCGCCTCGATAATATTTCTATGCAGTGAGATGACTTTAAGGCGGGTCCCGTTACACAACTTCGGAGGAGACAGTTCCGAAGAAGCATGATCGGGACGCCAACCTTCAGCTTGATGTTATGTGCTGGAAGTCCACTTGCTGTGAGGGAGTTGAGAAATTCCACCGGATAGTGTGTGGCATCATCTTGCTCGACTACGGTGTTTATGGAGGTGTACACCACTTCAATCCCCTCAATTTCCAAGAGAATGCTTTCATTGATTGCTGCAGCTTGATCATTTTTAGGCGTCAAAATGGCCCGCTCGCATGCCCAAGAATTCGGCTGGTGCGGTATTCGACTGATATCCCGGTACACGCAGCGAATGAGTTCATCTAAGGTGGATACCACTCTACCGAGAGATTCTGGGAGCACCACCTGTCCGCCCCTCTCCTCTGGTAGAGTACCGTCGCCGAGACTTAGAAGGACATCAGAGAATTCTTGAGCGCGTGCATTGCCGCCTAGCTGAGCTCTCATATTGATGGTCAAGCGCAGCGTATGAACGCGTGACCATAACGCTGATCGTTTCAACGAAGCATTCACCTCGTCAGCCCTAGATCCCCGCGTTACCACGGGAAGCGTTTGTCGGAAATCACCACTAAACAGAACTGTAACACCGCCCATCAAGTGTTCGTTCCTGCGGATGTTCTGCAGGGTTCTATCCACGGCCTCAACTGCCTTCCTATTTGCCATCGTGCACTCATCCCATACGACCAGAGAGCAATCCTTTAGCACGTGTCCCTTGTCACTGTTGTGTGACACACCACAAACAGGAGTTTCGGTGCTCTCTAAGTCGATGGGAATTTTGAACATGGCATGTGCCGTTTTGCCACCAGGAAGTAGTGTAGCAGCGATTCCCGACGACGCTGCAGCAATGGCAATTTTGCCTTGATAGCTGCAGCGATGCTAAGAGAACGGCTACCTCATTCGTCGTTGGTGCATTATACTGCCCGAGATGGGCTGCGATCGGTCTTCTATCTGCGCTGATGACAAACTTAAAGCGGTTGCGCTCGTTCTCAGGCACCGACGCCAGGGCGGCTTTGAAGTTCTCAATGTGTGGATTCACATTATGCAACATACTTTGCAATCCCCTGACCAGACCAGAGTCCAAATTGGGAATGTGTCTGCTACGCACGTTGGCTTGTTCATGGAAATCGCTAATAAAATAAACTTGCAAAAATTTTGGCGTGTCTGTTGGTAGTAAAGAACCGATTTGATGATAAACCTGCCCCTGTACCTTGAATGTTGGCATGAATCCTGCTTCAACGATTTGATTTACACCAAACGAAGTCATCTGGAAGGCGCTATTATAAGCTCGGATGTTTTTAAAAAAATGGCTGGACTTTGGATGCTCGCCATTTAATAGGACTCTTAACAGGTCTGGCGGGTCCTGCATAGAGTCCAAGCGGACCTTACCAGATGCACAACACATCCCATTTGGCTCCCCTTTCTCCATTTGCGTGCTTGGCAGTGAGCACACACTTCTTCTAAGGCACCAATCAATATTGCCATAAGCGGCGTAGTTAATCGCAACATTGTACATAAATCCACTTCCCTCTTTGTTTAGCCATGGTTGCTCTTCGATATCGTAAACCGTGGATTCCTCATCAGATGTTGAAAGCTGATTTACGTTACGACGCAGGCGATCTTGTTCTACTTGTGCCGCACGCTGTTCGTCCGACCAAGTTCCCCGAATCTCTTGAATTCTGTCCCGTTCTTGTGATAGATGAGTAGACGCATCTCCCAGCAGTTCGTGGTACCGCTGCCGAGCAGCTGCACGACGTTCTTCACGCTGCTCATCTGTCTCTAAAGAACGTGACAGGGCATGCTGAGAGCGGTCTCTTCTTAAGCGGGTCTCCCGTTCTTCATCGTCTTCAATCGACCGAGAAAAAGAAGCGCAGCTCCGCTGCAAACATAACCTCGCCTCTCGTTGCGTGTACGTTTCAGATGTGCGAGAATCAGCGTGGCGCTCCCGATCACTTTCCAGTCGAATTTGCCGCGCTTCGACACTCTCGCAAGATCGAGCGGCATCAGTGCGACTGCGCTGCGAACTTAGTCTCATCTCGCGCTGCGTATACGTCTCGGCTGCGCGGGACTCAGCGTGGCGCTCCCGATCACTTTCCAAACGCGCTTGTCGCCCTTCAACACTCTCACAAGATCGAGCGACATCAGTGCGGTTGCGCTGAGAACTCAGCCTCGTCTCTTGCTGCGTGAACGTCTCTGACGCGCGTGACTTAGCATGGCACTCTCGGTTAATTGACAGCCGCATCTCATGTGCTTCTGCACTTTCCTGAGACCGCGACAATGCATTTTGCATCTAATCGCGACTGGCGCGCCGTACTACATTCTCCTCCTTCTTCTCCTCTTCGAGTCTTTGCAATTTGTTCACGAACAGCAGTCAACCTGGCCTCACGCTCGTCAGCGGTTTCAAGGGATCGACCTAACCTTCTTTTTCGCGAATGGTATGACGATTGTGATAGATTAGACCGCTTTCTGGGCATTTTTACTACTAAAAGACAAATTAACACGAAGTAAACAGAATAATTTGAGAATCTCGATAACTTATAAACAACGCAGGTAACCCCCGTTTCTATAGGTTGAAGCGGCGACATCGGTACTCATAACATCACTTTTTGTGAACGAAACCATAGCGCGATCTAATTCGACGCCAACACCATCTAGTTAGGAAAATGGAAACATTTTTATATGGTAAACAATAATAATTTCCCAATTACGACTGAATACGTTTTCAACGTGAAAAAAACGTAACCGCATATGAATAAAAAAAATGCTAGTTCTTCATCACACCTATGTTTATAATTATACACAAAAATATTGTATGAATTCCGAAGCAACAATTTTACCAATATAAGTCTATGTTTTATTTTATATTTCATTTTTTTTTTGTGTCCAGGTTTGTGATAGCACGTCCTGTCAAACAACCTGCTTACAAACGTAATTTAAATGTGTATGAGGTAACACTACATGCTGCTTCAGTAAGGTTTACAGATATAAAGGTTCATTACTCATCCCCCGTAGGTGATAGCGTGATAATATGTAGCCTATGTGATGAACCGACTTGTCAGTTATGTTCATGCAAAATTTCAATTTAATCCATGTAGTACTTTTTGAGTTTATCCGTAACAAACATACAGACAAACAGACAAACAGACAAAAATTCTAAAAACCATATTTTTGGCTTCAGTATCGATTGTACATCACGCCTCAAGTATTATTTCAAAAATATATTCAATGTACAGTTTTGACTTTCCTACGATTTTATTATATGTATAGATTAGTAGTGTAGTAATTAATAGTGTACCTAATATTATTATGCAGTATAAACATCCAAAATTATTAACTTTTTGTTCAGTAGGTTTTTTTCTTAGTGCATAATTTACTAAAATCATCATGGGTATATCTATATTTGCTCACACAATAGCAGTTCCGTCAGTCTGTTACCGACTAAAACTAAGGATTACATTCTTAAAACAATTAGAGAGACACTAGGGATTCAGACGATCTCTGTAGCGTCATTCCTATTATGATACATCTCCTGTTTTTCAGAGTTAAATTCTTCGACGGCCAGTATTCTTTTTAAGCATTACAGATTCAAATTAAAATTCATTTATTCGCTAATATGATAGAATAATATGATTAATTACAGACTAATCACACAGATTATAAAACAAAAGGGCTCATCATAATATTAAAAGCTTTAATTATTATGTTTTCGGCTTACTCACATAATAATTTGACGATATACTCGACTAGTTTCAAGCCATGATACTAGCTACTGTCGCGCAGCGCGACAGTCGTCGCGTCGCGTGTCGCAGAATGCTACTCATGAATATGGGCTAGCATGGCTTGAAACTAGTAAGTAATATCATATTCGCAATTTTACCGCATCGAATAAGAAAAAATAAAATACCTATAACAATGAATTTTATAATAATGTCGCTAAGTTCATTAAAAGTATAAAAAGAAATAAAAAATTCGGTCAAATGTCAATATTGTGAAAATAAAATTTTAATATCATAATGTTTTTTAAGAAAATGTCAAAGTAGAAATAAAAACATATTTTTTATATTTTTTTAAATGAAATGTAATTTTTAAATGAAATATCAATAATTCAAGCAAATCGCTGGTGAGGCTAGAGAAAGTGTCACATTGTTCCAACTTTTTCCCTTACGACTTTACCAAGTTTCCGACTTGGTTGTGCTAAAAATTTCGACTTCCACAAGGAACAAGTGCCGGGGTTGCGGACTTCTCCCGCCCGGCCCTGGGCGGGAGAAGTCATTTGATGATTTTTCCCTAAAAAAAAAACAAGGAACAAGTGTCGACCAAACTAAAAATTGTTATTCCGGATCTTAGCATGATTTGTTTATAAAACTCGTATCAATAAATGCACCAGCATCAATAACAATATTCTAGAAATGGACCAGCTTTGAGTACGTAAAAATACTTGAATTCCACGGCATACGGCACTAAGTCGGCATAATGTATTATAAGAATTTAGATTTCTGCAAATGTTGTAATTCTGACAAGGGTCAGTTACGTAATATCATAAGCGAGGCGCAAGTCGCTTACGATAACGCTGACTTCGATTGTTTATGTTGCGTCAATATTTTGTCAATAAAATTTAACACTTTTCGGTTTGACTTTGTCCAAAGTGAAGGCAACATCCCGTGATAGTTCGTCTAGACTGATAAGAGATTCTTTAATATAAGTAAGAGGAGTAATAAGCCATTACCAGATTACAGTTGGGAAGGTGCGTTTTAACCAGATTTTGTTGTGGCCCAGATTTTTTGAATGTACACAAGAGTCCCTCAATAAGAATCTTTTTTACAGTGCAGGAAGCAAACGCGCAAACCACCAGCTGTTAAGTGATCAGCGCTACTCTTGGGCAACTGCAACACTGGAGGAGTCACAGGCGCATTGCCGGTGTTTTAAAAATTACACAAGCTTCTTGTAGGTTTGAAGGACGACGAGGATAGATGGACTGCGACAATTAACGTCTCCAACAACTTTTTGATATGGATCCTGTTGTGTGTTTACTAAAAGGGCCACAGTATTGCTACTAACTCAAAAACCGCACACATAGCAATTTACGACTTCGCAACTATATCAATGCGGACTCGCAACACATCGTTAATGCCTCGCTGTGAGTGAGGGGCCTAACTTTAGCGTCACCAGAGGAGCTCTAGTTTTTTAATAGCATTGAGCAATAAAATTAAAAATGCAATTTCGATGTCGAAATCTGAAATTGATTTAGTAATTTGATTTTTTTATACGTACTAAATTTCGAAGGAAGCGATTAAAAATTTTGAAAATAGTAATCTTATGACCTCGTTCTAACTTGTAGATTTTGCAACACCATTTAATAGTCAAGATGTGAAAATATTTTGAAATTTGTGTAGATGTGTGTACGAAAAGAGAATGAGGGTTCTAAACCTGGCAACTACTAAAGAACCATTACCAATAAGGCTACGTTGTCTTAATTACAGTGATCATTGATGTCCAAAACAATTTTCAAATTCATTATTTGTTAATAAAATCAAGGCTTGTAATTGAAATGTTTTAATTTTAATAATTTTTTTTTTATAAGCGAACCAAACCGTTTAATATTTTTTTAAACCGAAAATAGGTGTGTCAACATTTTACCGAATACCAAAATGTGATATAATGAAACTCCTTGCATGGCAGATGCATTGGCTATCACGTGACTACAATGCAATTTTATTATGATGTTTATTATCTATAATTTAAATTAATAATATATTCCTTATTTTTATAATTATTAAAAGAATTCCGAAACCAGGTAAGGTCCTGCGTTAAGTACATTTAAAAGGATCTAAAAATGCCTAGATCCGGCACAACTTAGGAGGCACAAAACAAATATTGCTATAACCTTTCGATTTTTAATGAGAATAATTATTAAAACTCCGCTAACCAAATAAAAAAAATCGAATAAATTTTACGAAACCTGATTAGAATTGACACAGTCATAACAAGATGACGAATTGATTATTATTATTTGTAATCTCAAGGCCATCTGAGCATTTGGCTCGTACGCATGCAAAATGATCGGGACACCCTGTGGTCTCGTGACAGTTTAAGATATATAATACAAAAAAAAATACAGGTTGATGTAAGATTTTTTTATTAGAATAAAAACTATGCCGGTTTAATATGTTTATATCAAATCAAATGAGGTGTCGTAAAGTTTGTAAGTATGACAGTCATATTTGTTCGAATGATTACTAGTTTTTATTACTGAGGGTAAAATCATCAAATGACTTCTCCCTCCTAGGGTGAGGGATGAGAGGGAGTGTCAGAACTTGCTGACAAAAAATCCCCCCGTTCGTTCTCCTGCTCTAAGCCAAGACCGATGTGCCTCATTACGCTTGCCTCGCAACCTCGGCTGAATGATCACTAGTGCAACCATTTTGTAAGCCCTTATGATCAATATTCTAGGCTAGCGGAAGTCCCAAAAAAAAATTCTTATATAAAATAATAGACATGGATAATATCCTACAAATCGTTTAAGATTTTTTTTAGATCAAAACTTCGCCATTCAAATAAATTATTTTACTTATATCGTCGTCGAAACAATCCGCTTCTCATGCATGAGGACGGCAGTTCGAAACCTGGCCATCACTAATGTGACTTTTCCTAGTTTAGTTACTCTCTAGGTTAATCCACCACTAGCCTACGATGAGGGAAAACATGGTGAGAAAATCTAGACCAATAATTTCTAATTAAGTACAAGTTATTTTTTATTTTTAATCCACTTTGAAAATGTGTGGTGCTTACTGCTAAACCTTCTCCATGTGCGATAAAATTTGATGATTCCACATGTCTAAAAAACATTAATAAGCCCCAGCTGGACATCATTCTGGTTGGAAAGCAAACTACCCTTTTCTTAAAAAATATTATAAAACACTTGACAATTATTTTGAAATCGACCATGGTTACAAAATACCAGCAAATAATAGGTCTTTACCTATGAAATTGCCGTTCTGCAGTACTGGCCACTTCAAATCAAAATAGTTTTTGTTAGGCTAAGGCTAATTAATTTTGTTTTAAAAACATGGGATTAATTATTTTCCAAAAGTAGTCATTTGTTTATTGATTAGTGTTACATTTTCATCGTATTTCAAATCAAAAAATTCCTAAAGACCTATTGTAAATGGAAAAAAAACTAAACCAACAAGAAAATTGTACTTACGTTTACGGTCTCCGATAATGAGATGGGAATGTCCAATAATCGGGAGAGACCCTGGCATCAATGCAGGTGCATCAGGTCTCTGCTTGAACCAAGTCGACCACACAGCGAGCACCACGAAACATATCAACACTAATCCCACTGCTATATACATTTCCAAAAATCAACAACGTTCTGAACCGTGTCCATTCAAAATCTCCGTTTTTATGCATGTCTCCAATAACCACGGCCGAACTGGTTTGAAAACCTTGACGTATTTTGTTTAGTAATTATAAAAAAGTTTTAGAGCAATATTGGCCCAAATTATTACATAACTAGCTACTGTCGTACTGTTTCACCCGCTACTCGGCTCCATTTAACCGTAGCGTGATGTTTTATAGCCTATAGCACTGAAGAACATTCTAGATACCTGTCAGTGAAAGAATTTTGGCAATCCGACCAGCGATTCCAAAGATTACCCCCTACATACAAACTTATAAATTTTACCTCCTTATAATATTAGTATAGATTCGTCTTCTATTTCTTATAGTAGGCTTTTGGGATATGAAGACCATACTAGAAGGTTATGAAACTAAATGAGTAGTCATAATATCAATATATCAAGATTATATACGAAAATTAAATTACTAATCTTTACTAATTGTTATTCAACCAAATGAATCTTATTATTAATAATAAGCTGTAATTTTTTTTCATTGTTATTTCGTTCACTTCCATTCACGGGCCCGTTGAACAGCACATTAATTTGTGAAATGGGACCTTTAATCTAATCCCTTTATAAGCTATAGAGTTTCAAGGCCGTTTCTGACGAGGATTCCGGACTAATGTGAGCAGTGGTAGAAAATGATATAGTTATGGATGTGGATGAAACCTATGAAATAATAAATAAATATCTCTGCTTCTGGTCAATATTAAAACAAGCAGAAGATGACTGAAAAGCTTAATTAATAAGCAACATTATAATATCGTATCCATCTAATAATGTATGGGAGATAAAAAAATTACCACAAATACAACAATTAAATTAGGAATACTTTGGCTAGGTCAGGTCGTTTTTCCAAGCAATAACATTGTATATTATATTATTGAATATTTTAATGCACTGAAATAAAATGTTATCCTGACCATACGCATTATTTAACCGCTAGTCTGCCGGTATATGAGACACAATAGAAAACGCATTGTGTCTCGCGTATAACTGCGCTCCGGCGGGTTAAATCAGTGATGCAGCTAGACGTAGATCTTTTTATGACCTACCTTATTACGAAAACATGTTCAGATCTTCAGACTAAAATATCTAGAAGTTTCTTCTTATATAAATAATATTTTTAAAAATATAACGTCTGCACTGGCGTTTTTAATTTGTTGAAACACTAGCTTTTGCCTGCGACTTTGTTCACGCGGAATAGTGACTTCCTGCAGATTTTTGGTGTACAAACTACCCTATATCCTTTTTCGTGTTCCAAACTATGTCTGTACCAAACACAGAAATCGATTCAGTCTTTCACATTTATAGTATAAGTTAGGATTAGGACAAATAAGTTTATATAAAAAAATATTATTTTGTATGTATAAAATAAAAATAAATCGCAAAAGGACATGGCCAAAAAAGTACATTCCACGTACACGAACAAAATTAATACACTGTAAAATACAAATAGAAATATGAATTATTACGTAGTTTTTAGCCTCTCCAGACCTGACAATTATTATTAAAAAAATGTAAAAGTAATGCAACAAAATCAACTTCGTTTGTCAAGTTTCGCCATAATAGTCCATAGAGAAAGATAAATAAAAAGACGTTCCAATTCCAAACCACGTGTCTTAAACTACACTTGTAGAAAACGTGTGATATGATCGACAAATGCATTACACTAGGAACATTTTATTCATACGAAACTGTATTCATTGGTTTTAGTTGCATTTTAAAATATACTCATATTATAATAATGTTATGTTTCATTTTTATCCAATTCACCAAAAAAAAAAAACTTAAACGAAACGGAACGTGTTTGACACTTTTGACAGCGTGTTTTTGTTAACCTTGCTAATAATACTTGAGTAACTGTTTTGCGTTTTGGATTTGTTTTGTGGATTACGATGAGGTGCATCAACTGCGGAATAGGCGTACAAAGGCTGCAGAGACGTCTTATATCCTCGCTTTCTGCACACCATCAAACAAAACTTTGACGTTGGTTAACCAGCTCAAACCCAGGTATGAAGTCGGAATAGTATAATACTTAGTCTGTTTTTTTATGTTTTATCATGGTATGCGATTTTAAATAGTGCATCTTTTTTTTAGTTGCCTCTGGGGACATTCATTTGTCAACCACGCTTCTTATTATTGAACACGGAGGCTAGTGAACATGAGAGACTACTGGGGCATAACATGGCTGGCCTTGGTTGTGGAAAATCGGTTCGAAAAATAAGACACCATAATGTCAGTATGGACTCTCCATTGCTAGCTGGCCTAATATCACAAAATACTATTAATGTGGTAAGCATTTTGTTTTTATTCATTGTTTTATATATGTACTTGTATTTATCTATATTAATCTATAAAAAAAAGTACTCATAGTAGGTATGTGTGATTATAATATCTATCTTTATGTATTTTCCATGTAGGCACAGACTTCTTTAAAATAGGCATGTTGTAACATAATACTTCTCACTGTACAATAACATAAAACTTGAAAACATGTGTTTATTCTAACTGGGGTTTATTTTCAGACCTCAAGAAGCAACTATGTTTGTCATGTGTGCTGTATGCGGGCAAATAGACAGACAGTGCAGGACGAAACTAGCAGGAATTGGGTTCGGACAACAATGCCAACCCCTTATATTCAAGTAGTTAGCCCACCAGAGCCACCACCATTAAGCCAAACTGTTTTAAGCAGGCCGCTTCAAATGGAAAGTACTACCATATTATTACCCAATTATACAGAATATATATTAAAGAAACGTACATTCCATACACAAACATAATAAAATACACTTTATAATAAAAATATAAAAGTGAATTATTACGTAGGTAGTTTTATTTTATTTGTTCTCCTTAATAAATAAATCATTATTCTTTATACATATTCTTTTGTTTTATTTTATAAATAAATAAATAAATAATTAAAACGCCATGGTTTTTAAAAGCAAAATCTTATTTCGTGCACTTATGGCCAGTAATCTGACTAAAGGTTTAGTGAAACTATTTTCGTCTTGTTTGTTATAATTACGAGTTCTTCATGTGTTTTATTTTTTGCAATTTAATTTAATAATATTCACGAATGTAAACACCAAAAATCATTGATGTACATTGAATTCAATAACTATGCAAACGCCCATACAAAAGTTGGCCATGTCCTTTGCTGGCAAGCGCATTGCTTAATAACGACTGACGAATTTTCCTAAGATACATTAGAAAAGAAGAGGGATAGATCCAAAAAGACAAGTTAAATAGCCGGACAGGACATCCCTTTCCTTTATTTTGAAAACAATCATATACGTTCTTGTGATTATTTAACAATGTATACAAATTTATTTTACCAACTCTCGCCAAAAACAGGATTTCCCAGTTTAGGCACCTATATACCAATACCCTGAACATAAAATTGCTTTAAAAAAAATTTAAGTATGTTATTTTCTCAATATTACATTTCTATTTATGTTTTTTTTTAATTTTACGGGCAATTAGAGTACCTATGGTTCTCAAATATATAGCTCCATTAAGGCCTATATTAGTAAGTGTAGCAATAGGTACTGTTTCTGTACTCAGTCAGTCTTTATTTTCGTACCAAACAACATATCAAATATCTGTACAAACTGCAAATATGAAACATCAAAACGGTAATAACTATTAACTAACATGTATCTAAGGGATCCTTATAAAGTTCATAAGAAGCGACTGAATGTAGGTTACCACTAACCAAGCAATATGGTCGCCATTGTCGTCGTGGTGGCACGGAGGTAAAGGAGCCCGCTTCTCATGCATGAGACAGGGTTCGAAACCTGGCAAGTACCAATGTGACTTTTTCCGGGTTATATGTACTTTCTATGATTATTTAGCCATTTCTGACATTCGGTAAAGGTAAACATTGTGAGAAAACCTGGACTTATAATTTCTTATTATAAGTTTGAAATCGCCAACACGCATTGAGCAAGCATGGTGATTAATGCTCAAACCTTATCTGTGTGAGAAGAGGCCTTTGCTCAGCAGTGGGCACTTATGGGCTGATGATGATGATGATGGTCACCATTGATAGTGGCTTTCGAAATAAAGACTATAAGAAATCATACGTACCTACTCCTTTTTAAAAAGCTGGCAACGCGCCTGTGGCTCCTCTGGTGCTGCAGGTGTCCATGGGCAGCGCTGATCACTTATCATCAGATAATCTATCCGCTCGTTTGCATCCTATTCCATAAAAAACAACTTTATTAATTAAATTTATTTAGAAAAAAGTCCGTTCTTTTTTTTATTTTGACATTTAAATTTCAACTTAAAATTACGCTTCTAGAAATTACAGACGTCATCGCCTCGAACAAAAAAACTTGAGACTAGTTATGATTTTATTGATATTTTTTTTGTAAAATTTTTTGAATAAAATTAAGAAAAAGGTTCTAGCCTAATTGGTTTAGTCTACCCAATGAATTGTTGGTTCTCATACGAAATGTATTTAAGGGCAAGGGCACAAAAATTACTACAAGTCATTTTATTGTACTCAACTAATTTAATGGATCGTTTACAAAGGCCGTGTGTGGAGTCGCGGCGTCTTTGGTGTTAGTTACATCATAAACGTGAAGGACATCGAATAAGTACCCGTGTAACTGCGTCAACCTTACGCAAAAAGTGGAAAACATCTTAATACTTCTTAAATAAGTATATTTAGGGTTCAGTACGAACTGAGCAAACGTCAAAGCATCTAGGTAAAGCAGGAATCCACATACAGGCACTTTCAAAATTAAAAAAATAAAATGTTTAAATGAAAAAAAAAAAACATTTTCTGTCGCTTCGTCAGTACTTAAGGAAGTGCAAATTTTTCTTTTTCTTCTCATCTAGTTATCTCATCTTGTGATTGGTTTTCTAGTCGGGTCGAGTTTGTATGTATCGAATGTTACTTGATTCTTTACTAGCTACTCCCGCGCGGTTACACCCGCTGCTCGGCTTCATTTGAGTGTAGCGTGATGTTTTA